CTTATATGACGGTAATGCATGTTACAACGGTGTATCTTCTTCATTACTGTACTGTAATAAGAATCTGTTTTGTTGACAGTCGACATTTTATAACTTGCATTCAAGGTTACTTTGTCCTGTAAATGGGTAGGCAAATAAAATAAATCAAATTTTATCTTCAAAGTGAAGAAGTGAAGAAAAAGTGTTTTGCCGTATTTTGAAGTAGAAAAAATGTTCAGTTGTTATTATTCGTTAGTTTTACGCGAGTCATGAAGATTCAGGTTCGATTCCCGGCTTGAGTCCAAAGCCATATATTTTTATTTTTATATGACTAAGACCGATTCGGCCTTAAAATTTTTTAACCAAAAAAATAATGAAAAAGTGTGATTATTTTCTTTATTCATCAATAATCTTCCATTTTTCAGTAATTTTTAGCTTCAAGCTCCTCTAATTAGCTAATAGTTCCTTAAAATATCCTTCCTTAAATTTTTCCGCACTTTTCCACCAATAATAAAGCTTGTTTTCCCTTTTTTTATTTTTTGTTAGACAAATTTACGCCCTAATCTAAGTTGTAATGTTGTACTAAGATTTTTGTATAAGTTAGTTCACTCTAAAATCTCTTATTTAACACACACAAATTTTTGTAACTGTCTACACAGAATAAAACAGCATAACTAAATATAGTTCGTTTTTATTCGTGCACGTTAACAGTCTTCTTTAATTTAATAGTTTTACTTTAAAACTAAGCTATAATAAAATAATTGTAGCTCAAAACAAACCAAATAAAAAAAATTCTCAATATAAATTACTCATCTAATTAATTTCAACATAAAATTAATGTTTATTTAGAATTAAATTCACAAAGTCCTTATCTTCTTTGTTGACGTGTAGTATCTAGATAAATATTCAAAAAGCAGAAATGAAGATTAAATCTCGAGATTCCGGTTGTCTTGAGCTAGGAGCGTAGTCTTAAATCGTCCAACATCCACCGCAGGATGGTTTAGCAGCCAGAGACATTACCCAGCGAGCAGGGCTTGATAAACGCAAACACGAGGATCCTGAGCGAAGACAATGCTTTGAAAGGATTAACGATCCAAGTTTGTGCCGTTAAGGCTTCTTCGTTATGTCGGATTATCTACCGAAGAACCTCTTATTCTTTCACCCTTTCACACTTATACTGCCTCCGGATACTTAGGTCACAGACGGAATAATATAATCAACATAGTGTTAATTATTTCTAGTTTATTTTGCAATAAATATTTTGCCATAATATAAGGCAATGGGCAAAGTTCTTTTTCGATTTAACCTTTTTTCTAATTTAAATATTTTTACCACCCTGGCAACTGGGTTAACATGAAACTCATAGCATTTTTCTCACATGTATAAATATAAATATAAATATAAATATAAGTACATGTATATGGAACGTTTGAAACGAAAACTCATCCGGGAAATAGCAAACACGGTTCGTCGAGTCACGGGTACAACCGAAATTCCAGATTTTTAGTCGACGAGAAACGGCTTTTATTTTTAACCACCGTCGCTTTTTTACGTGCAGTGCACGAAAATGTACAATTATTTTTATCATAAATAAAGCTTTTCAAATTTAACTATTTTAAAACAATACTTCTCGTTTAATTCAAACAAATGTTGACTAGAATTGAATTTGTTTTTTTTTTTTGTATGAACAATCGACAAAATAACATTTGTATTCTGCTTATAGAGACAAACAATTTAGACAAAAAAATTATCCTTTTATTCGTGTTTCCCCTTAAATAGCTAGTATAGAATTTTTCGTGCTAAAACAACCTATCAAAACATCTCATTAAATACTTTTACTGGTTTTTTTTTTTTTCGATTTTTTTACGTTTTTACTCGCATCACTGCAATGTTTTGTTTCTTTTATAAATTTTATATTTATTATACAGAGTATATTTATGGTAAAAAGTTATTACTAATAATTTTTCTTGACATATTTCACATATTACGTATTTATGAAAAAAACAAAATTGTGAACAATTACTCCTCCCCCCTTTTTTTTATTATAATTTTTAATATATCGTGGTCAAAACTTAGAACAATATTTTATAATAAATGTCTGTTGAGTATAACGTTTATGTTTTAAATAAAACTTGGCTTAATTCAAATATTTTTTTCTCCGAAATTTTCGATATTAAATTATATTATTCGACTAAATAACGTATCATTGCCAATTTAAATTCTTTTGGCTAAGTTTAAAATCTTAATAGATGTTTAAAAAACACAAATTTTTCAGTTTTTTTTTCTTTTTTTTTTATTTTTTCAAAATGCAAGTAGATTATAATATTATTGTTTATACCTTTCCTTTTATATGTAATGTAATATTGTAAAAGGACGTTAAATTTATTCTCTAGTAACCCTGTTATTGGCTATTGCTGTTGAGTCTTTATGTAAATAAATAAATAAATAAATAAATAATACATTGAACTCAGAATTTTTTGTTTCTAAACGATAATTTTATAATTGATAAAAATCAAGAACAATAATTTTTGTCTTATGAGCGTCACCTGATAGAAACGAAGCATAAATAACGCTGTAACCGTCGGTCGATAAGCAAAAAAAATCATAAGTAAATAAATAATCTCCTAGAAGAAAAATTTCCACCATCACGTGATACCAAACTCTGACTTGAAACCAAACAAAACGCACTCCCATAAATTTTCTGTAAGGAAAACAAAGAAAAACTGAACCAACAACAAACTTTGATCTGAAATAATTCTTCGTAACACCGCCAGCGTAAAATCGCGCTCGTTTGCATCGAAAAGCTCGGAAAAAGTATTAAGAATTACAAATCACGAGTTTTCCGTATCTCGTTGTAGAATGGACTCGTTTCGAAAACGATCAGAGTGGATCTCAAACTCCTAAAGCAAACCCCCGACCCCAAGTTGAACCTTCTTGGAGTTTCGAGCTAGACCAGGAAAACCTGGCCTCACCCTCCACCCTCTCGGTAGTTTTTATATTGGAAAAGACGTTGAGATAGAAAGGACTCGGAAGTAAGAGGCAACTGGTTCCCAACTCGTGTTGATCGGATGCTCAGCATCTTCCTTGAGATGACGTCGAGATAAAGAAGTTCGTTCTGTCTCTCATCCCACCCTCGGGACTCACTCACAACAACTCTCTCACCCCTGTCCCTTGTCGTTATACTTATTCGTGGTACATCTACACGAGCTTTTCCTCTATTTTATTTTATTTTTCTTTTTTCCAACAGCTTTTGTTATTTCTCCTTTGAGGCTGGCTGTTTTCCTTGGCATTGCGTGAACCAGATTCCAATCTTCTCCAATCGTCAAACAGTTTGCACGTCATATTTTATTTTATAGAAAGAAGAAAAGTAGAAAAAATGTAAAAATCTAAACAAGCATTTTGCGCAGTCAAAAGTCGCATTTATATTCACTGGAGCTTTTATTTCTCTTGTATTTATTTACAAACTTTTTCATGCGTACATTTTATGGATAGAAGTAATATATCTTAATGATTCGTACGCGATCAACTATGATATATCGTTATTTTTTCCCGACATTAAGCTTTTCTTGTGCCTCACGTACACTCCCAACAATTTTGCTAAGATATAATTTTTTTTATGGAGCTAAACTGACGTGTGTAATAAAGAATAAGGAAGATTTACGGTGATGGATGCTCTTCATTTATTTTTTAAGCTTTCGGTTTTACTGGATAAATTTTGGAGACAAATTGTCGGGAAGAACAAGAAAAAGATGAAGAAGAAAATCCAGTCACTTTTGCTTCTATTCGATATTTGACCCAGAATTTTAAAACTCAGTTACTGTGTATAAAATTGCACTGATTATTTCTATCATAAATAGTCACATGTTTATAAAAATTAATAAAAATACTATCAAAAATTATCTCTGTTTCTTTTTTTTTTGCAACTTTGCATAGGTAATTAAGATTGATGCGTGGATCAAAGGAGACTTCGTATTTGACATATGACATTTGCAGTATCGGTAGTACTTCCTCAAGTTATAATTAAAAATCGTTTTCTCTTTTTTTTTTTTACTCTAATTAGGTTTGATACCAAATTTTTCTCCTAAAATTAATAAAAATTTCATTTAATAATCATTTTTGATAAGAATATTAAGTCAAATAAAATTGATGAATTAATTGAAGTAATTAACAGTATTGAAAATAATTATATTCGGGTTGTTTAATGTTAAATTATGATTTATCATTATCATCAAAACGATAAACTTCATAATGTTGTTGAGTTTGATAACAAACAAGTTTAATATCTCCTTGTATATAATAATTAAAGTTTTGTCAATAACCATCAATAATTTCGAATTCCATGTGGTACGTTTAATCAGCTCAAATGCATTGAATGTAAGTTGCTCGATACCTGCCTCCACTCAGCTGAAAACTAGTGCAACCACTTGGAGAACTTGACGAAGTTATTGCTTCAACTTCAGTATTGAGAAGATATCTTACGAAGTTCCTACTTCTCCGTTGATTGATTTATTAATTAGTGCCAAGAATATATTCGTCCAATATAATGGGTTGTTATTAAAAAAAAGTTTTGAATATCATAATTTTCATACATAAATAAAAAAGAAAAAAAAATTATACTTTTATGAATGATAGAAAACTTTTTCTTTTTTTTTAATTTTGATGAATAACCTGTCGGACACAAAGCAAATTTTTTCATTAATTAATCTCAATTTATATCACGTATGCATCTGCGGTAGTGGTGGTATATGGAGTGATAACATTATCTCGTTATTGCAAAATATATTTCTGCTTCGTGGAAACATACGCTGGCAACATACGTTGCATTAACCATCACCGGGATGAGCAGATAGAGACAAAAAAGTTGTTATTTGAAATTACTCTACCCACTGCACTGCATATAGTATTTTTACATCTACACATATGTACTATGTATTATATATTGTACATATACTGTACCTATTATATGCATTATATAGTACACATTGTAAAGTGCTAGTCCTCGCACATTTATATCACCATCACCATTACTACTTTATTACACACTCTGCTCATCTAGCAACACTCTGTTGTCACTGATTGCACGAGTGCAAGGCAAGTACTCAAGTATTATAATCAAAAACTCATTTAATATTCTAAATTGTACTGTTGAACAAGTGAATCGTTCATTATTCACTGGATTATGCCTTATGATGAGAAAAGAATTATTTTGTCTCTTTTTATGTTTTTTAAAAATATACTTAATAATGATAATATTAAAAAGAAATTCTTATTGTCTTTTAAAAATAAATTATTGTTATTAATGATTCTAACAATTGTTATTTTTATTATGAATAATAAAAACATCTTAGACTGTTGACAAAAATTTTTTCTCATTTTTTGTAAATAAAAAATAAATCCCGGCAACAAAGTGACAGCAAATATCAACAATTTAAACTCGTTATTGCTATTGTAGATCATAAAGAATTTATGTGATGAATGTTTGCACGTGAAAAGTAAAAGGAGTAGAGGAAAAAAAGCGAAATAAGCAAGTACTGAGCAAGTAAACAAAAAAAAAATAGTTGAACTTTTTTAACGAGTTTTTAGTACTCTCTTTAGAGTAATAAAAGTGACGAAAACGCCCGGACTAACATATTTCTTAGGACATGAAAAAATAAATAAAAAAATAAAAAAGCAAAGAGTGTTTAGAGTTACAAACTAAAAAAGAGATGATGAACAAAAATGAAAAAGAAATATTCGGTAAAGTAACTCCATCAGTGTCGGCCGGAAGTTTTATTCTTCGTATAAAACTTTTCTCGTCCTATGCACATAGAGGGCAAGAGAATAGGGTGGTTTATAGTATAGTATAGTTGTGAGGATCCTGGTTGGTATATGGGCAAGTCTTTACACATTCTTTTCACGACATTTCACCAATAAAGGTAGCATCACTTTAATCCTGAAAAAGTCAACCGAGTTTTTATGGATTACTGAGGGTATAAAATATTAAATTTTAAAATAAAAGAGCAGTGTAATCTATTCACGTTGATTTACTTTGACTTTAAGGGTAATAACGTGACTTGATAACTCTATAGAAGAAAATGGAAGCGAGTAAAAAATTTTATTTTTTTATCGGGATTATCGACGGGTGAAATAACTTTTCGTGATTATGGGATTTTTTTAATTTAATAAAATTTATGCATTTTATGGCTTAGTTTTTCAATCATTTTTTTTTTTCAAGTTTTATCATTATTCACATCAATCCTCGACTTTTTTATAAAATGTTTTTAGAAAAATGTTCCAAATTTTAACTAATATTACTTTTTTACTATTAATATTTTTATGAAAGGCACCGAGAATAAATTCGAGTCTCGTTATGAGTCCTATTAGTGTCTCTCTCGTATTAACACAAGATTGTTTAAAAAAATAAATAAATAGGACTTATATGACAAATTTTCAGAGTCGCAATTTATAACTTTTAGAAACATTCACAAACTACAAATATTTTTTTCTACTTTTTAATCGGTATTTAATAAATTATTCCTTTTATTAAAATTTTTCACAGAGAAAAAATTTATTTTTTATTATAAGTATCTCTTAAGTAGGTTTTATTATTAAAAATTACGATATTTATCAGGCAACTGAAAAGAAGAAAAAGGTCTGAGCGCCATCTATTGAAAAAATACTCGAAATAATTCATACTCTCCGTGATAAAGAAGTTTTCTAGTTGTTGTTGCGCCATATTAATTTTTATTGTCCAGATAAAATTTTTTTATGCACGTACTAATGTAATCATACAAAATTAAATTATTACTAAATACTTTTGATGTTTTTATCAACGCTGTCAATATTTACAACCTTTAGTTCTTTTAAAAGTTTGTGACAAACATTGTTGATTAAAAACAAAATCGATATTGAGCGAGGACATAATATCTCGACATTGTAAAAGAATTTTTGATAACACGTAATTGAATAAAAATGTCCGTAACTATTTTAGTATCTCGGTGTAAAATAACATAAAATTTTATAATCTATTCCAGCGTAATCACAAAGGGGCAAAATATATTTTTTAATTAAATAAAATACAAAAATTCGTCGAAAAAAAGAGTCACTGGCAATTTAAATCGATTTATTTTAAATTCATGAGCATGAGAAAAAAAAAGTAAATTGAATAGATATATTTTAAATTTGCTCCCCGTCACTTTGTTCGATGGAAAGACAATTGCATTTAGATACGCAATTTATCGGCTCAATTCTTTTGCATAATTTCTGCGTGGAATTTCGTAACACCGTAAAAGTTTTAAATAAAGTCTCATTGTAATTAAAAAAACAATCAAAATGGAGACACTTTTTTTTTTTAATGCGAGTGACTTTGATAGTAAAAGAAAAATTATTGCGAAAAAAAATTCTGTCTCGCGTAATTAAAACTCCGCGTTTAATTAGTCGTAATTAAAATTCTGAAAGGGCGTTTCAATTGAAATAAAATATTTTTATTAGGGTGATTAAAGTTAGTATATAAATAATTTAGAAAAGTGGAAGAATAATGAGTTATATAAGCTGTAACAGTTTGAAAGTTTTATTTGTAAATCGGTTATCACGTAAACGCAGAACATCAGCGACAATGAGAAGAGACAATGCAAACTAACGAGGTCTTGCTGATTACTACTTTGGTAAGTTCAAAGTACTCACGTGGCATGCAATTGTCTCGGGGTAAATAGCCCTTTTGTCTCAACTTCATCACCATCCTAATCTTCATTTTCGCTTATACTTTCGCTGTTTTTTTTTTCTTTTTTTAACCTTAACTATTCTCGTCTGTTAATTTATCTCAACCACTGATAGCAATGTCCACTTTTAATATTTAACCTCTCATTATGTTGTGAACAATGAAAATTACCATCTCTTAAATAATAATTTACCGCTGACATAATTTTAAACAAAAGAACAATTTTAAATTCCATTTTATTAAAAATGAAGATGAAGTTTAATAAAGGATTGAAAATTACCATTTTAGCTTCTGAAACTTTACAGCGTTTCAATATACCTTCATTTCCACGATATTGCTTTTTATAAACAACTTTTTCATACTTACCACGTGGGTCGTAATCTATTCTATACTCGGGCAGATTTTTTCCGAGAAGTTATTTTAAAATATCTAAGGCCTAGTTACCAGATATTTATATAAAAAAATTATATATAAATTTAGATGGTATTTAATAAAAAATAAAAATAAATATTTATAGCTTGTGGATATTTTTAGTCATGATTTATGACTAAAAATTTTTCATACTTCCACATCGTTATTGAATAGATAGCTGATACAAAATTTTAAATTAAATATTCACAGTAAATTTATTTTTTAGGTCATTTATCTAGACTTCCAGATGGTTCGCCGTGAAAAATTATTATTTTTATATGATCATAGAATTCTTTTTTTTTTTTTTTTTTTTTCGAAAAGAAAAAAAGACAGTGCAGTCTTTTGCTTTTATTATTGTTCTAGATACAAGATCGAATTATTAACGCCAATTAACCAGAAACTGAGTTTCCGTAGTTGTCACACTCACAAATAAATATTTAATAATTATTAATAGCTCACTCATATATTAAATTTGTAATCAATGAATCTCCATCAATTAAGCCGCATAAAAAGCCAGATATGTAAATTTGCGGCAATTAATTATTAGCGGAATAATAAACTACAAAATTTCACAGGCGATTTGGGGAATAATAATATATTACCTCATTATTAACAGTATAGTATTTTTTTAGTACCCGTGAAATTGGTTAATAATTAATAATTTTTCTGTATAATAATATGCATAAAATATTTCTACTGACTACAAATAGTGTGGAATATATGCAAAATGAATCGACGCCTAGACGGAATAAATCAAAGAAAAGTGCCGTTTTGATCTGTGGCTTTGAACTCCGGCCGGGTCAAAGCAATTCAATAAAAGTTCTCGAGCTTATACTTTTTTCATTTTCAGAGTTACTTTAGTTTCTTTAGCTCTCAAAGAAAATTTCGGTAATAACTTTTGCACCCAAGGAATTGACTTATCTGTGGGTGAATGTAAATGGGAGGGGGAGGGAGAAGAAATAGACTTTTTTTACATGTTCTCGTGTGAAAATATATTAGACCGATAGAAAAAAATTTTTTGAGCTGATTTATGGAGAAGATTTTTTAAAAATTAGCTTTTTTGACCACCTTAATATAAATATACGAAAAAAATGATAAAAATTTTTAACGAATTCGAGAAAATATTATTTGATGTTGTGACGATCATATAAGTAAGAGCGCGTGCTGTTTTAATATTTCAAGTCACGGTTTACACGCACCCAGCATTCAACATGCTGTTACTACCGTAGAAAACTGTCTGAATGATAAATTTATTAAACTCGTGACTGCCGTGTTATTTAGCTCATTTTTTATTGACTGGATACAGATCGAATTTTTTTGTTGTAAGAAAAAGTAAATATCCTTTTAAAAAAAAATTTTTTTTAAACGTAATTAGAAATAAGTTTTCAATAACATTTTTTAAAATTTTGTATGTTTTAATATTTTTAATTTATATAATATAATTCATGCATATGTGCAATCAGCTGATTAATTTAAATGAAAGCTTTTAACGCAATAAAAATGAATCTGACGATAGAAATGACAATGTATCTCCGAACTAGTGAATCTTGGCGAAAATGACATAGACGAAGACAAAGTTGGGATGTCTGCCGATACAGATTCTTCGGCACCGGTGGCATGGTTAAACATCAGAGGGTCATCTCATTCCTATCCTACACGGTACAGAGGACATTTGTCTCTGTCGGACGCTGTGTCAACTGCACCCTCGCCTAATGCAACCTCCTGTGCAGACATTAAATCCCGTATAATCTACAACATATACATAAGACATCCTCTTACACGAATCCAACCTGTAATGTTTTTTCCGCTCTGTTTTTTTGTCACAATTTTTTTTTCTCTTCATTATTATTGTTGTTATTTTTATTAAATATGAAAAGGAGCTTATACACAGTATTTTTTTCCGTATATATGATTCTTTTTGGCTTCATGTTTCATGTTTTTACTTTTTACCGCTTACAAAGGGAGTTTTCAGGTTAAATTACGAGTTTTCTCTCTAAGCAGTAAATATTTAATTTCATTTTTAAAATATGTGTTTTCAAGGATTATTTGTTTTGTGATGTTAGCATTTATTATTATTTTTTCTTAATTACATTCAAAGTTTTTATTTAAAAAATAACTAAGCGATTCTCTCTGAAATTTGCAATTTTAATAAAATAATATAAGGGAACTAGTAAAAAATTTTTCTTTCCTTATTAATCGAGTTTTAAATTAAAAAGACTTTTTTTTTTTTTTTTTTTTTTACTTAAGGTAGTTGTAGCGTGTGAAAGGCATTTCAACAGAAAGTTATGAAATTTTTTTTATCGAAAGATAAATATATTAATAATTCACTACCAAAATTTCAGATCAATTGACCGCACTGTTTTCGAGTAATTAATTTTCGAAATCGCATCTTTTACACGTAGAGGCATGGAGAGACCTTATTACCAATCGTTTTGGATGGTAAATGATTTTTCAGGATTTTGGGCTTCGGGAAAAAGAGCCTCACCCAAATCGCGTCGTCGACAGCATGAAAAAATAAAGGGACCATCAATTATGGAGGGTAGAGGTACCTCCTTACCTCTACCCTCCATAGACTACAGCAAGGGGACTATATGGAATATGGAGGGCTGTGGCGGTCCTGCCTCTATCGGCCAGAAATAGTATTAAACGGTTTTCATCAGCCGATATCCATGTCACGTGATGCTCCTGCCAAGCGGAGCGGAAATATTTTAAATAAATAAGGTAAAAGTTAATTAATTAACTTCAATAGCAATAAATTTTTTTTTTAATTGTGATATTCAAAATTTTTTTTAATTGATCGTATTTTTATGTACTTTAAAAAAAAAAATATGAAAAAGAGATTCCTCTAAAAATACGCGCGCATGTGACGCTTAAATTCGCGCCAAAAATTCGAATGAAAATTTTTAGAATTTTTTTTTTATTGAAAAAATCATTACAAAAAAATAAAAAAAATTTTCATTTGTAAAAAACTTAAAAAACTATAAGTGTGATTTTTTTAAAATATTTTTTTGTTCTAATTTAATAAATGAAAAATAATTAAAAAATTAAAAACGTCGGCTATTTTTAGTATTATAAAATTCGAAATTGTTTTATTTTATTATTATTATTTTAGACTTTGACATTGTTTATAAAATTTTTAAAATAAAAGATATTTATTTTAATAAATGCTGATTAATTCAATGGGTTTTTATAGTAAGTAATTTAATTTAATTTAGTAGATATTTGATAATTTAAAAAATTTTTATTTACAAATAAATTATGGCAAAAATAATGAAAAAAAAATTAACATGTAGAAATTAAAAAAAAAATAAAAATGCAATTTTTTTTAACAAATTTGTTTGTTAAAAAAAATCAAAAAATTATGAAGTGGCGGCTAACTTTAATGTCATAATTATTCGGCTGAATGATCGGATTATATTTGTTAAATTTATGATTCTGAAATCATAAATCTAAAATCAGCTGATATCTAACAATTTTTTTTATTTTTATTATAAAGCTATTATTAAAATATATTTTTTTTTAAAACTTTGCACTTGTAATTTTTTTTAATCGCTAAATGTGGAATTTTTATGGAAATTAAATTGGCAGATATTTAATCATTTGAAGAATTTTTGTAACAAATAAATTATAGCAAGAAAATGAAAAATTACAATTTTTTAAAATAATTTTTTAGAACAAATTTTTTTATTAAATAAAATTAAAAAATAGTCAAGTGCTATAACTTTAATGTAGTGGAATTTTTTTATTAAAATTTTTTTCATAATAATTTAGTCGCTATAAAAATCTAAAAAATTGACAGTAAATTTTAGTGTCATTTTAATTTTTATACAAAACAGTATACTATTTTTAAATGACACTGAAATTAACAGACATTTTAGCATTTTTTAGATTTTAATAACAATTAAATTATTACGAAAAAAATGTAGTAAAATCGCATGAAGAAATTAAAAAAAAAAAAAAATTAATTTGTAAAAAACTTGAAAAACTGTAAGTGGATTTTTAAAAAAATATTTTTTTGGTCTAATTTAATTATTGAAAAAAAAAAAATTAAAAAATTAAAAACGTCGGCTAACTTTCGTATTGTGCGAATTTGTAAAAGTATTTTTTATCACAATTGGTTTGCGATAAAAATTTAAGTGTCATTATTTTTAAAACTTATATAACTTGTATTTATTAATTGATAATTATTAATCTTAAAAAAAAAATTATTAAAATAGTAAACCGTATAAATTTCAGTTAAAAAAAAATTTCTTCCGGCAGCCAAAATAAAGTTATAGACTTCTTAAAATATTCTTGATAACTTTAAATTAAATTTAATTTAATTACACTTTGTCTTGATTTATTAATTTTATTATTTATCGATAAAAAATTAAAATATTTTATTAAATTTAGAATTAAATTTTTATAAAATCGACATATGATATTAAAATCAACAGATGCTTGATTTTATTAAAAAAATTAATTAGTATTAAGAATAAATTAATAGCTTATTAAAATCTTAATAAATAAAATTTTTTTCAAAATTTTATTTATAAAAAGTTATCTTTAAAAAAAATCCTAAAAAATTGTCAGATGTCTGTGAATTGAGTATCATAAATCGATCTAAAGTTGAATAGTACATATATTTTTGTAATACAAAAATTTATTGATACAATAAAGTATATCTTATGACATATTTATTTACATAAAATGTGAAATATATATCTAAGAAAGTGGGAAAAAGAAATAAGGCGCAGTCGCAAAAGGAAAGCGGGTGAGATTCAAAAAGACACGGGGTCAAACGTTTGTGTTCAGTCGATTCCGCGACGTCGCCGTGACATCAAACTAGACTAGCTTTTACAAAAAAATTAAATCGATGTAAGAATTATCTTAATTGTTACTCCTTTTTTTAGCTGATTAAATTAGATTCCGGACTTCCAATATAGATGTAAGTAAATTTAAATATTGATCAACTATTTAAACCATTGAATTATTTTTATAATATATTATTCATCATTTGCAGATGAGACACCTTACCTAGAATTCTAAATAAATGTAAATAAAAAATCCAGAGATTAAAGTAAATAATGTCTGAGTCACCAAAAACTAAAAAAGTGCGGCCTAGGCCTAAAATACAATTACCAGTGCCCGGACAGTATACTCATTATGCACAAACTCCGACTGGATATGTCACATCATACGGACAAACTCCAATACCGGTGACTCCTGGATCTGGCCAGCACCACGTCTTGTATGTTAATAAAGCCAGTGAATTTATGTTTGCACAATTTAAAGGAATAAAAGATTTTACTAAATCTGGTCTGAGTCTTGGTGAAAAAAGTGCGTTTTGGCTGTATGGAAAGGTAATATTAAAAATTTATTATTATTATCAATTAATTTTTATACTCAAAAACAGTGCGGTAAATTGATCTGAAATTTTGGTAGTGAATTATTAATATATTTATCTTTCGATAAAAAAAATTTCATAACTTTCTGTTGAAATGCCTTTCACGTTACAACTACCTTAATTTGTTTAAAGTCGCATAAACTACTAAAGTCATGAGCGACTACGGTAGGGGGTAAACTTTTGAGATTGGAACTCGTTTTATTTCTTGGGCTGAGCAGTATAATACACTTAAATATTGAAAATATTCATTGGTGTACGCCGGACTCGAACCCGGTCCAATGCTTTGGTAAGCAAGGGCCGGATCCGATAGGCTACTGCGCGCCCTAAAAAGACTTATTTTTAAATATCCTAAAAAAATAGATGATATTATCGCTGTAATTAAAAGTTATACATTGGAAAAAAAAATGTATTTTCTTCTATTTAAAATTTTTTAACCAAAAAAAATTTATATACGATAAATATTGCGAATTTCCACATCACTAGTGGGTACATTTGCAAAGAAGATATCGAGTCCCCAGAGAAATGTTTGGTATCGCGGCACCAAACATTTTATGGATGAATATAAGCAACTTAGATGGAAATGGAGGAGAGTACACATGAATTAGATTTTGATGTCGGATTTAATGGTTTCAGAATTGTGCGAGGAATGGGCGTTGGCGAATAGCAGAGAGTGCGTCGACAACGGGAGCAGCAAAATTGGCAGCGGAAGTGGAAATTCACTGAGGCAGGATGAACATGACGAAGCGAGTGAGGCGACGTTTACCCTGAAATATTTGGGAAGCACGCTGGTGGAGACGCCCTCCAGCGAGGAGGCCACCGCTGAAGCAATCAAGACGGTCATTACTATGGTACGTTACTGGAATAGTAATCGTTATATTTTGGTTCGTTGTAGTTACATTTATAGGTACAGGTATGTGCTGGTAATTGGAGGATCTCACTATCTTTTCACATTCATGCTCTTGGTTTATTTACTTGTCGCGTATCACTTTACTCATTCAATTTTCTCTGTGTTTTACTGCTTTGTTTGCATTAGTGTGCAACTCGAATGTGAAATGCTCGTTTTAATTTTCGGTAATAATATTACGGAGTTTTATTTCATTAAAGACGTTCAAATTTACATACACAGTAAAAAATTTTACGTCATTGCGTCAAAAAATTTTGTGTTAAATATTAACACTTTTATGTGTAAATTTAATATTTATTGTGTTAAATTAACACAAAAAAGTGTTAAATATTTACGTTCAAATTTACATACACAGTAAAAAATTTTACGTCAAAAAATTTTGTGTTAAAAATTTTTATGTTAAATATTTAACACTTTTTTGTGTTAATTTAACACAATAAATATTAAATTTACACATAAAAGTGTTAATATTTAACACAAAACACAAAATTTTTTTGACGTAAAATTTTTTACTGTGTATGTTTACTGAAGCATGTATAAGAGACTTATATAAACTTTTTTACTTATATGAAAATACGTACACTGAAAAAAAAATTAATTTGATTTAAGAGAAAAATTCTTGAACTCAGAAAACAATTTTGAAGAGGGAAATTGTCTTGAATCAAATAAAATTTCTTTAAATCAAGTAAAATTTATTTAGTTCGAGAACATTTTTTTTTCTGTGTATAATTTAGATACATCGACGGTCTAATTAGGAAATTGTCTAACTTCTTATTTTTTAGAGGGTGATTTTTTAACATTTTGATGTAGTAATAATCCAATTATAAATTATTTGAATGATTCAAACCTAAATATTATATCTCTATTAGATATTAATAATATTAAATGGTTTTTTAAAGTGATAATAAATTTTGAACTCATTGTTTTTTTTGTACAAATAGAAGATTTTCTAAAATGGAGTCAGACAATTTGCTAATTAGAACGTCGACATGGTTTTTAAAATATAATAAAAAAAATTAATCACAAGAGATATTAATTAACTGTCCAATAAATTTTAATTAAAACTAGCGATATCATGTAAATAAATGATATTACTCGTTTAAACGAATTTACCACCCCGTTAATTAAATTCCAGAAACAATAATAAATCCATTATTTTGATAATTTTAATGATATGAAGGTTTGTTGAATTAAAACGTGCGGGAGTATTCGGTGTAATGAAAATAGCCAGATAAATAAAGTTTAATTTATATGGATGAAGAAGGTTTAATTCAATTTAGCACTTGTAAGGATAGTAACAGTTATACATGTATGAAGTGAGTTATCGAAAGTGGTTCCTGCAAAGTGGTTACCGCAGCTATATATAGCGCTGTCTCGTGTCTGGTTCAGTTTGTCCACAATCAAGTGGTCGAGTTGAAAGTCTCGAGGAAATTACGGCTGAATGAACGCCATCCTATCGAGTACGAAGCTCCAGACTTGTATTTTTTACTTATTATTATTATTATTATTATTATTAGTTTTACTGTATTATCGAAGGTACATTGCTATTGTATGATGTACGAACGAAACAACAGATGTAGACCTATATCTAAGAATTTGTTCTTTTTCAAGACTGTCTGTCGTCACGGGTAAAAAGTAAATTCAGCAGTATTTTGTGGCTTAGCAAATCTCCACGGGGTTACTCGTGCGAGCACTTTTATCTGCGCGGTATAACTACATGAAAAAAAAAAGGAACACGATGATCCTCTTTTCAGGTTCCATTTAATCTTTATATCTTCGAATACGTGAAAAGAAAGACCCGCATAGTCTGCGAAAAATTTTCATGATAATCCACTAGAAAATCTTCGGAATATAATGTCTGATATTTTTATCTATATACCTGTATGCTAGTATTCTCGATGGAGGATGTGAGGATGTGCCGTCGGTATCGAGAGATTAGATTGGGTTGTACAGAACCAACTTTTCTTGAATCTATCTTTCGGGAAAATTTTTATTAGCCTTTGGGCACAAAAAGTTATGAGAAATAAAAGTATTCGAATTATGGAAAAAGTTTCGATTGGTGTTGAAATTTAAAAAGCAAAAAATGTTGGAAAATTCTTAGAGATAAATTTATTGAGTGATGCACTATAAAAAAATAATTAAAAAAATTAAGTTAAATAGAACTTTTTTTCTTTATCTTCTTTGTTTAATTTTCTTAATTAATTCAATTCGTGAATTTCTTGAATTAACTATTAATTACAATTGAATATTGTAATTAATAGTGAAATTTTAATTAAGGTTCACTAAGTTATAATTATATTAATGATAATTATGATGATTAATTATATTGATCAACTAAAATTAAATTTCATATACCTTGAATTCAGTAACGTCAAATAGTTTTAACTAACTTTAAATTATCATACATGTATATTCCAATGAAAATAAAAATAAACTATTATTTTTTTGATCCTCGCTCGAATTTTATCAATGAATTCAAACTGTTTTTTTTTACGTCGAATTGTTTTTTTTAGCTTGTAAATTAAAATTTTGTGATTAATGAACCTGTATATATACACAATTTCTGCGCTACTTAATTAGTTCCATTAATCACAGGATGTAAATACCCAGGTACTTATATTTAGATTAGAAAATATTTATGTTAACGTGAAAGTTATAAGCCAACTCACTACATCACTTCTCTCAGAGAACAAACTTTGTGATACTGACATGAAAGCTTTATCGTACACACATTGACATCGCGATAACATTTATATTAGCATACCATTTACATAATTAACCACACTAAAGCTTAATTAACGTCACTAATTATTAAATAAATATCACCGCGTGCTACGCGACATGACACGTTGTATGAAAACACTTGACATGCCTACTAATAAATTAATTAATCATTCTATTTACTTTTTTCTTATTTTGACAGGCCAAAGCCAGTGGTAAAAAATTGCAGCGGGTTGCCTTGGCTGTCAGTTTACGCGGGATTCGGATGACCGACTTGGCTACCGAAGAAGATCAACTTCAAGTCTCGATATACAGGTAATCATTTTTAGACTTTGAAATTTGACATATTTTTTATTTGTTTTTTACTTAGCCAATCAGTAAAATTGAACCTGATTATCAATTTCTAATCTCCATTTTGGAGGAAAATTTATACTAAAGTAATGAAATAAATTTTTTAAAACCAAGCCAATTTGTTCGAGACAGAATCGATATTGACTCTCGGTTAAATTTTCCCAAGCCTATTAACTCGTGGATTCGATTACGCGGACACTGGAAAGGTTTGTCCTCTCTGCAAATCAATTAACTCGGATTAAATTAATCCCATTTACATTTTTTTTTTATTCATTATTCATTTAGGTTCTATTAATTATATTCATTATCACTGATAAGTTTTTTACAAATTAATTTTTTTATTTTTAAGTTGAAAAAATAAAAAAGACATTAGAGAGCTGAAATAAAAATAAATTTCTCATATTTTTAAAAAGTTTAAAAATTTCATAAAAAAATTAGGTAAATTTTTATTTATGAAAAAATGAAAGTTAAAGTTTATGTCATAATATTCTAGATTAATTTTAAATTAATTATCTTTATTATAATTATTATTATCATTATAAAATATGTGCATAAATTAATTTTTGAACCAAATGCATATTCCGAGAGAACAAAAGCTTTTTAAACCATGAACAAAAATATAATAATTGAATTTCTATCAAGTTCATTAAATGTAAAATAAACTTATCAAGGTAGTAATTAAAATTTTCAATGCATCAAGTCCAGCATGTCACTACCAGTCGTTTAAAACTAAAAGTTGCCATAGTTCCCATTAATGATTTACTTACAAGTTGTAATTAATTATTTCATCGTGATCGATCCGTTGTCTTCCAGTAAATTTAGCTAAACGGATCTCTGTAATGAACCTGGTATTGACACTATGTTCGTCTGAGTTTAATTATAAATTATAACGATATGGCAAAGTTCTATTTGTATTATCCTGTAAACTAAATTCACAAACTATTGACCGTTAAAATTTAATTAACAAACTAATATTAGAAAAATTGAATATTTTTTTAAAATTGTTTTCCAGAATTTCATATTGTTCAGCAGACGCGACCCACGACCACGTTTTCGCGTTCATAGCAACAAACTTAAACGAAACAATGGAGTGCCATGCATTCCTGTGTCCAAAACGGAAAATGGCACAAACAGTAACACTGACCGTGGCGCAAGCATTCAACACGGCTTACGAAGCCTGGCAACAGTCGCAATCAGATTCAAGGATCCATCATACCTTAGACAAAAGCAGCAATTCCAGTGGATTGGCTGCTGGCAATTCATCCCGTAAGTACATTCAGCTTAATTAGAGCTTAATGGATTAGATCACGATAATCAATACGTAAACACACACACAATAGCCAATGGACATATGGAAGTCGAAGAAATATTTTGAATTCGATTCTATATCAGTAGTTTCCACAGTTTTTTTTTGTCAAAAAAATTTTTACTCTCTGTACATAGAAGAACAAATAAATTTTTTTTTACCTTTATAATTGCAGTAGAAACTTTTTTTCATCAAAAAAAAAATCTTCTTTTTGCTTGAATTTCCGTAGTTAAAATTAAGCTCTGAAGTTTCGAAGCTTTCCGTCAAAAAATTTTCGTCCGTAAAAATAATTTTTTATATTTTCTACAAATGTATATTTTAATTTAATTTAATATTTCACATGAAAAAAAAGCGGCTTATTATTATTATTATTATTATTATTATTATTATTATTATTATTCTTATAACTATAAACAAATTCTTTTATCGGCATACGTCGGTATTTAGTCTGAGGTATGGCAAATTTTCGTACCAGGTCATATTTGACCACAGACAAAAATTTTTTTTATGGATCGATGACTAATTAAGGTGAAGAGTTTTCAACATTTATTGTGATCTGGTGTCTCTCCAATTAGCCATTAGATCCGTCAATAGCCTACGGAATGACCTATAAGTTCGCAATAATATGACCTAAATGTATGCAATATACCGTGAATAATGACATGGTAGCTAATATAACCTGAGAATTCAATTAGATGCAATTATCTAGCATTGATTATTTACAGGGCGCATTTCTCTGTGGTGCAGCGCTGCCTTATGTCAAACAGCCTCTAGACTCTTGACACTAACCATCACAATGTGAATTTCAATTTAGACACTTGAGTTGTCGTGATAGCATCCAGAGAGTGGTAGTCCAGCTTGAAAGCTTTAATCTCGCACACGGAATTCGATCGTGTACAAGTAAAGCGCTTGCATTGCATTATCGAGCCTCCCTATATACTCGTTCATATGCCTACATATGTGAAATATTATTTACATATATACATATATGCTGCCGGCACGCTTTGTAAAGCACTTTGCGCTGCGGATAGTCCTCTGAAGACCACAGGTTTCATGACACTCCCCCAGTTCTATTGAACCAAAGGATTAATTAATTTCTTCTGTCTTTTGTCCTGTTTCTGTTAATTACTTTCCAATTAAATGGAATAAATTAAACTCTACAAACGAGGTCCCATCATTTTGCGGAGCCAGAGATCAAAAGGATCGATGATTAAAGACTTGTGTTCATCAGTTTTAATTAACTTTCTCGTTATTTTTTTGTCACTATAATTGTTTTGATGAGTATCTTTTTGTTAATTGCTTGAGTGTTTATTTATTGATTGCATATTCAATCCGAATTATAAATTCAATGCTGATTTGATTGCATGGAGTATTAGTTTCTGTATAAACGGATATTATCAAAGTATTAATTAAACATTCACGTATGACTGGAGTTATGTGCATACATTCGGCATACATACATATATTCATATCGTTGATTATACATTTTAAGTCAGACTTGTTGAGCAAATGTTATCTTTAGTTTTACTTAATACACTATAATAATTAAATTCGAGTTTCTAAGTTCCATTTATGTATTTAGTGTGTTTATATTATACTTATTTAATTGAATTAACAAATTATTAATTTTTTTAATGAAAATTATTATTTTTAATATTATTATTAACATTTTTATTTAAATCTCATCGTGATTTATGAAATAATAATATTAAAGAGCTTTTTTTTTTAAAATTTTTCTTTTACTTTTTAATAAGTTTATTTTATAAGTTTCATTGCTAATTAAAAAATATCACAATAAAAGGCAGAAATTTGTGATTAAAAAATTTTCAATATAGATAACGTCAATTTAAAGACTTTGGGAAGGCTTTAATATTAAATAATTAGTATTAAAAGAATAATAATTAATAACAATTACTATGTGACTGATTTTTCGGTATTTTCAATAACAATATTTTTTATTATCTTAATTATAAAATTATTATTAATTTAAATTGTTCACAGATCAAGATAAATCATTAATGAAATCAATTGACGCAGAAAAGCAAGAAAATGAAAGTAACCAAAAAAACGAAAAGAATTTACTAATTGATTTGTCCAATGAAATAAAATCAACTGATAAATCATGGGTACGGATAAATATAAAATAGTATAATTGTTAATTCGTAATTGTACCTGTAAATTCAATTTTGTATGAACTAGCAACATAAACAGAAATTTTATTGTCATTAGGTCTGCTTCGAGGATGACGCGACAACAGAGGTGAAAAAAGTTCCGAAAAAAACGAGCAACAACAGCATACCAATGACAACAATGAGACACGCGAGTAACACAAATCATCATGTTATGCCGCGGCCATCACCGGGATTCAAAGTGCAAAACGCCTGGGGTGAATCACGATCTGTCGACCTCATATGCTCGTAGCATACGTAGCCGAAGGCTGACAGCTTCACAGATGTACCACTGATTACTGGTCTCTGGAAGCATTTGTCTATCGATGGCCAAACTAGAGTCGTTAAACCTTCGGATAATAATGAAAAGCCGAATATTTGTTCTGATAAGAGAAAATAGTTTTAATTACTGATTATTATGATTTTTTAGCCTGTAAGTTTTGTTTTTACGATTATATATAATAATAATTTCTTTTTTTTTAATTTTAAAATTTTAATGAATTGAAACAAGAAAATTTTATAAATTGATAATTTTTATTAACGTTTTTGTTTATCATATTCACTTGTAAACATTAATCATCATCAATTTGTGGTATGTTTATATTAATAGCAAAATAATTAATTAATTAATTAAATAATTAGTGTGAGATTATTATTCAATGGATATCCGAGAGAGGAAAAAGTGACTAAACTGTTTAAACAATCAAAAAATTCATTGAAGATCGAGAAATAAAATGAAATTTTATAAGAGCTGCAAAGTTTAGATTTCTGTAAAATAAAATTATTCTTCTCGGGTATTCATATCGAAAATAATAGGTGGTGATTGTACCGATAGTAATATAGGTAAATATCTGCAACAGAAACCATAGATTCAGGGTTGGAAAAAATGGATTACTTTTTTAATTTATTTGTTAATTTTTTAAAAAAAGAATTAATTAAAAAGTTTTTTAGTTATGAATTTTTGGAAAAAATTTTTTTATATTTTGACTTCCAAGTTTTTTCCTAAGGACATTTATAATCATAAAATAAATCACTACTTATTATTTAACCAAAATATTATTTTGTAATAACATTTATTGTGTGCCTAGATTGTAATTATTAGAATATAAACAAAAATTCTACGTGTATGTAACATATGACATATAAAAACTAATTGTGTAATTTTAATATATTTGAATTTAAAGATAAGTTAAAAATGAAATTCACAATTGCTGGTAATCAAAGAAATAAATTTTAAGCCGTTGTAAGATTCTTTGCAACGTTAAATAATAAAGATTCATTTTTTTTAGTTTATAAATTGACAAAATTTTAATTAGTGTATGTTGAATTATTAACTAATTTGATAAGCGAGGAAATATGGCTGTGTTTGTAACTTTGGGTGATGGAGTATGTTTAAAGATAATTTTAAACTATAATTTATAATTTGTTATGTACATTGGTAGAAAAATTAACTTGTTTTAAAAAAAATAATCTTGTACCAAGATAAGTAACCAAGATATTTTTTTTTAACTCAACTAATCTTTTTATTAGTATCCATTATACTAATTAAACAAAGAGGTGTAGAAAATATAAACATTATATCATTAATGGTAAGCTAACTCTGTAATTAATTTTTGTAAGTGTTTATTCATTTTAAATTGTTTACTTATGAGAGATCTATAATTCGAATATCTGTTGATAGATATTAAATTAGAAAATTGTATAAGTGATTGATGTAAGGGGTAAGGAACAAATATACGCATGCATATCTATACTTTTAAACAAAAAAAGGAAATAAATATAGGTAAATTAAATTTTTGAGTTTTGAGTACCTATTTTTTTTAAATCATTTTTCCGGTCCACTTATCCGATGACGTATGTACCGCTATAATTATTTAATAACTTTAATTTTAAGTTATAAATAATTTTTGAACTATTTATTGAATCTATTGTCTTATAATTACTGCGGAGGCAGCAATTAAATATACTTGGAGCATGACGTCAATAAAAAATAGTTCACGCGTCATTTATCTGATAAGAAGAAGTATAAGAATCGAAAAAACTAATTAATTTATCAGTAAAAGTCTGGGAAGAATATTAAAGCACTATTTTGTGAGTTATCAGTTATAAGTAAGTTCTATTACATTTTTACACGAATTATTAATTGAAAACTTAGTAGGTGAATTGGTAATTAAAGTTTCAACTTCACGGGACGAAATTTAGAAATTACTTCGAATATAACAGAAAAATGATTACTAAATTGCTTATTTTCTTTGTCATTGCTGGAGCTCTATCTCAAGAGGTAATTTTTAATAAAATTTAATGAAGAAAACAATTAACTCAATTTATGAGAAAAATTTTTGAACCAAGAAAATAATTTTGAAGAGTTCTATTGTCTTGAACAAGCTTTTCAAAATGATTTTATTGATTCAAGAAATTTTTTCTTCAATAAAATTAATTTTTTTTCCGTGGAAAAAGTAGACAAAATTGAATATCAAATTTAAAAATTTTGAAGCTTCATAATTCGACGCCGCAAAATCGTGTTGTTCAAAAATCTCTTCTTGATGATCTAAAATCATGGATTTCTCCCAATGACGGAAACTTAGCCACGGAAAACACACCTATTTACGGTATACAGCGCAAACCAAAACTTTTCGAAAATGGAGCTGTAGAGTACAAAATCGTCAAATTTAAAAATGTGAGAAATTTTTCAACAACTTATAAAATAAATTAAATAAGTTTTTAGTTACTAATAAAAATGATTTTAGGCTATGAAGAAACTTAGCGACTTTTTGTACAAAAATCAGTCTCATGCGATCGCTCCGGTCAATAATCAGCCGTCTCCTGTCACCGAAGCGCCGGTAATTACCATCAATGTTACTTCATTTGATCATTAAGCTCCGATTGAAGATCAAAAATTGAAAAAATAATCTAATATGTTGTCTGAATTCTGTCATTTTCTGAAATTTAGCACAGCGAAGCTGCAAATTCAATTCCTAGTACTACTGCACAACCAGAGCCTAAAAAAGATCTGAACACTTTGATCGCAGAAATGCTAAGGAAAATTTTCCCAAATTCACACTTGATAATGGGTTAGTACTTTTCATTTTATTCAAATTTTAACGATGACATAATTTGATATGATACTGATTACCAAATTCGTTCTACAGGTCATCGTCAATCAACAACAACACCAAAACCTTCTTTGCCGTATCCCAATACAGTGTATCCTGAGATTCTTGTGATAATTGACAATTCTTTATATAAAAAACTTGACAGCAATATACTCCGTACTGTAGTTCATGCTTTGGGATTTTTCAATGGCGTAGATTTGTTGTATCGTAATTTAGACAGTCCAAAATTCAGACTTAACATCGCAGCGATTCTCATCGTCCAGGTGAATATCGAATTATTAAAGATCAAAACGAGCTTCCTTTTGCTAACGAACTTAATGAAAATTGATTTATTTAATTCAGGAAAAAGATGGATTTCCTAATTTAGAACACGCACCGGACAAAATAGACGGTGATAGTATTACCTGGCCAGTTGGAGAGTGGTTATACAATCATCAAGAGACATTTCCTTTGGACAGCTATGACATTGCTGTAACATTGACGGCGTAAGTTCTAAAACTTAGGACTAGTTAAGCTTCTATTCCTTAATATTGAAGTAATTCATGGTAATTTTAATGTAATTATTACAGGAACGGTATATACGGGAAAGCGAATGGCGAAGAAATTTTGCTAGGAGGCATAGCATATCCATCAGGCGCATGCACGGTCTTTCATGAAAACCAGCTCGTAGTCAAAACAGCACTTGTCACAGAAAAAGGTGATTTTCACGGGATTCGGGCTGCAGCTCATGAAATTGGACACTCGTAAGTGGAAAAATAATTAAATTTTCGTCTCTTCTTTCAAATGTGAAGAAATTATCTTGAATTTCAAATTTTGTCTATTTTTAGGCTCGGTATTGATGATCATGATGATCAACCTGACAAAGGATGCTCCAAAGAGGCAAGTACCATTATGTCTCCTAGCACCGAATTAAATGGCTTCAAATGGTCACAATGCAGTTTGGACTTGCTGACTCAAACATTTGTGTAATTACTTTTTTTGATTTGATTATAAGTAGGCGCTTATCGGATTTAATGATTGTTGATTTTTGAATTGCTTTACAGGAAGAGTACAGCTGAATGCCTGTATAATAAACCCAAAGGAGGAAAATCAGTACCTCGATTGATGCCCGGAAAAATAGTAAACGCTAACAAACAGTGTCACTTTAAACAAAAAAACTTTTTTGCTGACGTCACGGAAAATATTTGCGAACACCTTGTTTGCCGAAGTCACGAGAATAGTTTTGGTAGTTACGTTCAAACTTATCATGAAATAGGAGCTGCTATTGGGTCTACTTGCGGCCAGGACAAAATTTGTCTTCTTGGAAATTGTGTTGAGGTTAAATAATTAGGTCAATCAATTTTTGATAAGTTCAACAACACTAAATGAGCGTAATTTAATTATTCACGGTGGGATAATATAAGATAATGATAATTTATACTTATCCTCTCATGTACTTTTTTATTGTTAAATAAAATTTTTATTGTATTTATAAATGAATTTTCATTTACTTTGAGAAAAATTGAATGAAAAATTGATGGTTTTATTGGAAAAAACGGAGGTCAAATTTCAATTTGTGCAGCAGCATTTAAATTTTTGATCACAGAAAATCATTTTTTTTCAAAATGTTTCCAAAAATTGTTCAGTAAAAATTTCCAATACAAAAAAATCATTTTGAAAGTAAATGGAAATCTTTTTCAAATAGTCAACTATAATTTTTTATAAGCAGTAAATTGTATTGTGCCAATAAGCTATCAATTTTCTGTATCTACATCATCATATCGCTTCCTGTAAAATATTATGACGTTCAAAACAATAATTTCAACAACATTTGTATTTATAAAGCGGAAATTAATGCACTTAGTTCAAATAAACTGACAGAACCAAACAAAAGGGCATTACATAAGTTCTTGCAGAAAATTTATAGATTTTATTGGGCGTAAATTATAGTAATTTTGGACATGCGTATACCTGTATTATATTTACATACTGACTCACAATATAATTTCGGGTCCTTTGAATTTATAAGGTAATAAATAAACGACAATGATAAATATGTATTTTTCATTTGATTGATTTAAACCTGTGCAGACAAGTGTTTTAACCATGATTTTCGGATGGCCAATGGGATTTATAATAGCCCGACGTGCGGAATAATAGATTAGATTCTCCTCGTACTCGAGAGGGTCACTTTCAATTTTCTATCACATTCTAACGCTTCGTTCTTCAGCGTCATGGCTAGTAAGTGGTTCTAAGCCTTATAAAAACATTTTTTTATTAGTTTCTTGCCACGGAATTTTAATAAAATTCGTTTTTTTTTTTAGTTTTAAAATTGATTGCTGGGCTTAATTTTATTGGTGCGGTACTAAGTTCTTCGCTAGAGGTAATTATACTGATATTGATATCTGTTGTAAAAAATAGTTGATTTTATATTATATTTATTCATAAAATTTTAGCTTCATCATCACATGACACCAGAAGAGAGGCAGCAAGTTTTCTACACCGATGGAACTGACGGTATTTTTGTTTTTTTTAGTATAAAGTAAATAAATTTTTTTAGTTTGGTGAATCATTTTTTTATTGAAATTAAATTTCAGTTCCTCCGTATGAAGTTGTGACAATTCACTCGTCTAAAGTAGAAAAGCGTGATGTTAATGCGGGACATGTTTTTGAAGTGAATGCTTACGGTGAAAATGTAAAAGCTTGGATTACGCTAACTGAGGGAATTTTCGCTGGTGTAAATACTCCTATTTGTGGAGTGAGAAGTCGAAGAGATGGAAGAATTGATATTTATAAATATCCGAATGTAAGTACACAAATATTATAATATTTTATTTGTGTCTTTTTCCTCATTGTGAAGAAATGTATATTGTGAATTGTTTTTTGGTAAAGTTGAAGTTAAAAAAAAATTTTAATTGCATTTTTGAAATCGAAAAAAATTTGAAATGCATTTTTTTATGATTTAAAACTTGAAAAAAAAAAATTATAGACTAATTTAAAAATTTTTAACAGAAAATGAAGGAAATAGAAGCTACTGTATTCAAGAACACTAATCAAGGAATTACTATGACTGTCAATTACCGTTCTGATGGAACTAGAATGATGGTAAATATACAAATTTGGTTCTACGATATTATATTTGTGAAAAGGAAATTTTTTCAAAAGAATAGTCATGTATAATAATAATCCGAAAAAAATAGTATATAACTCGGATATCATGTTTATGAATATAATGACGAAAGAACCACAAATTATCTATCAAATAATTTCTGTTATAGAGTTTAGGCTTACTAACTTTTCATTCAATTCTAGAATGGTATAGTCGGCAGCAAAAATTGGTACGTGAAACCAGTACCCGAACGTCTGACCAATTCGATAAGTCGATACCGAAGATCTGTTGACAACATTAACTCTGATTACGACGACAAATCCTACCATATTGTTTACCAAATTCCTATGACTGCGAACAATTCAACTCTGATGGCTCGTAAGTTGAAAAATTTTAAACTATTTCAGGTAGAATTTAAAGAAGTTTATGTCACAAAAATTACCGTTCAGATTTCAACAAAAATTGCTTTTAAATGCTTTTTACAATTGAAAGTACAGATTTAAAGCAGGTGATAGTTCTACGTTAAAATTTGGATTTTTTTCAGCGCTAACTCAGTCAAAAAAATCAAAACGTGCTATTAGGATTCCTCCTGTAATTTATCCGGAAGTGCTTGTCATTCTTGATTGGGGTTTGTACCGGCAGCTCGGAGGAACTATTGAGAGCGCTGTGCCATATGTTCTAAGCTTTTGGAACGGAGTTGATTTGAAGTACCGTGGGCTTCGGAATCCTCGGTATCGATTGAACATTGCAGCTATCTTCCTCTCTGAGGTATCAATTTTTGAACATACTTTCAGAAAAAATTCTACAACGTTCTAATGTAATTATAATCTTATTGATAAACTTTGTCAAACAGGATCCAAATGCTCTTTCGTTCATTCAAAACAGTATAAGTTACGGACCAACAAGTTTGGACAGCCAATTAGTGATTCAGCACAGCGCGAGATGGTTGTTCGATCATCAAAAGATCGTCCCGTTGAACGAATACGACGTTGCTGTTATATTGACAAAGTAAAAGCCCAAACTAAAAATAATTTTGAATTATGCTAATTGCGAGTCGAAATGAAAAATTATTTTTTTTTTCTTCCTTATTTTTATAGTCGGCGAATATTTACAAACAAAAACGGACGACCAAGTTATGGATTAGGACGCGCTTGGATCAGCGGAGCTTGTAGTACTAATGATCAATATGGCGTACATAGGAGCGCGGTGGTACACGATGAAGGCACTTTTGGAGGTATTCATGCTGCAGCTCACGAACTAGGACACTTGTAAGTGCAAAAATTGTTTTTTGAATTGACCAAATTTGTGACAACAATTTTAATGACTAAAGGTTTGGAGCCAATCACGATGGAATAGAACATCCAGACTGCCCAACACACGTCGGTACCATAATGGCTGACCATCCAATTTTGAACACCGAGTACTCTTACTCGTGGTCTTGGTGCAGCCAAAATGACTTGTCTAGATTCTTAAAGTAACTTTTTCAAAATTTAACTAATTTAATGAATGTAAGAGTGGAATCTTTAGAAAATGATTGAATTCTGTTACAGTTACTACAATCCAACGTGCCTTTATAACGTACCCAATCCGGGAACACCAGTTCCAAGGTTGCTGCCTGGAAAAATGATGAACGCGCATCAACAGTGCTCAATGATAAACAGAAACACCCAAGCGTACATCACTACAGACATATGCAAAAAATTGGTCTGCTATGATGCAGCTCGACGAGTATGGTATAATAATGTCGATTGGTCAGCTGCTGATGGGACTTATTGCGCTCCGGGAAGAATGTGTCTTTACGGGAAATGTGTTAGTGAAAACTAAGTTTCTTATTTGTTTATAGTTTTTTATTGTTAAGAGATTTATTATGCTACTGTGTTGTATCAAACAATTGTTTCCTTATATTATTGTACATTTAATTAAAAATATTATTGTTATTATTACTGTTGCTTCTTTTCCCCAAAATTGAAGATCTAGCCGCTGATTGTTGGACCTTTTGTATAAAAGTTATCTCAGGACATCAATGGGTGTTGGCGTTGTTTAATTTGAATAATCGAACACGTCATCGAATGGGTCCTAGAATTTACATAATCACATACAACCGGATAATTAATACAAATTTGTACACCTGTGCTAGTTACAAGGTCACCGTAGACTAGTTTTTTTGTCATTGATCCGAACACCTGGGTTGGCGGTGTTTTGAGTATTTTATTATCTTGACTTGTAAAACGAGAAGGTTTCTTCGGAACCCATAACTCTACGTCTACTAATCGTTTTCGTACAAACTTTTACGGCTCGTATCTTCCAGTTTAGGTTCCCAGATATTATACTTTATTATTCTGAAGACATAAACATCAAGTTTCATTGTTTTTCCCGAAATTTATTTTTCGGATGTTTATTTCACACTGATAAAACTTTGTTTGATTTTTTTAGATAACAGTTTTCAAGTATTAGCTCTAGGGAAAAAAATTTATTTTGTATAATTAGCGACTATATTTACTCTTTTTTAATTTTTTTGATGTAATAATTAAGGTTGCTTCAATATTTCTATTTATTTTTGGATCAATATTTTTCTAACAAAATTATTTGCTGATAAAAAAGTTTTATCTGAAGTATGCATTGATAAAAAATGTTAATCCTAATATAAAATTGAGATGAAATGTATGTGGCATCAAACTATTCGTAACGTGATTGGTTGAATATATCATAAGCATGAAAATATATGCAAACTCTATAGTCAAAGCGCGCGCTTGCGCACGTAAATTCAAATTCTAGTTTTATTGAAAAGAAAATGTATTGAATAAAAAAATTTTTTAAAGTTGTTTTTATTTTTGGAGTCGGTTTCAAATGCTGTGATCTTATCGCCGACTTTAACTGCAACTTACTAGGCTATGATCAAATCTCAAATAAGCTAGTTTTTAAGACCAGCTTCCTAGGATCTCAAAACATGAAGAACTGATGAAAACTCGCATTCTCAAAATCAGACCGAAGTTCCTACTTTTTAAAATTGTCAATTATTTAAAGCGGGAAGTTAAAAAAAAGTCTTCTATTTATTTTTCATTTATTTGACACAAAAAAAATCCATATCATGTCCAATAAAATTTTCCCACTTGAATAGTAAAACATTATCATATCTTAATAGAGCCGGTCCCTATGATTACGGCTTTTGATTGCTCGTCTAAATAAAGAAGATTTTCGAAAAAAACACTCAGCTACGTAATAGATTTTTTAATTATCTATTTTATATCAGAGCGTTTTTTTCGGAATTCTCATTTTTTTAAGAGGAAAAACCCAAACTGCAATTAGCTTTATCATCACGAGTGCAACAAGGATAGTACCGTTTCTCGTCGTGAGTGCGACGCGAGAAAAAGACAGGATAGCCTCTTAATGTGTAAGTAAATAATGAAGAATTGTATCACTAATAATTGATCGAAAAAGTCTTGATTTATAATTGATTGACAGTTAATCAATAAGATCATCTTTAATTAATGTTTTATAAAATTATAAGCAATAAATATTTTATTGAATCATTCCTTGACCTTGACTCACTCATAAATCACTTTGTCATAAAGATAAAATCATATCAAAGTTATAAAATGATAATGATAGTTTTAAAATAATTCAAAAATCTCGAATAAAATTTAGTAAAATTATTATAAATGTCAAACTTATAAATCTACTTGAAAATATTGTATTTGTCAAAAAACATCACCTAAAAACACATTAGGAAAAAGCAAACATATGACATCGCCTATTGTTAAGACTAATGAAAAGTATGATCTCAATTATTGAACAATTTTAATCTTCCCGTGTAAAAAAAAATCGTCTTAAAATTGTCTTAAAATTGTCGTTCGTTTAAGATCTTAAACGTGACATAAACTAAGACTATTTTAAGATTCTTTTAAGATGCCAAAAAAAAAAAATTCCGAGATTTTTTAATAATTATTTTGATTTTTTTAAGACTATTTTAAGATTTTTTCAAGACGATTTTAAGATTTTTCTAAGACTATTTTAAGATTTAAGCTTTAAAATAATTTTTATATAGTCTTGAAAAATCTTAAAATAGTCTTAAAGAAATCTGAAAAAAAAAAATATTAATTTATTTATTTATTTATTTCTTTAAAAAAGACCCAACAGCCAATGGCCATTAACAGGGTCACATAAGTATACAGTTGCAAATACAATATATAAAATTTTTACAAAATCATAATACAATTTTGGATACCAACTAATTTTTATAATTAGATACACTAATTTTTAACTAATCAATTAGTAAATTCAGAAGACAAAATTGACACTAAAAATTAAGACTTAAAGAGAAGACAGCGGCCAAAGGTATTCTGTTAATAATTGAGAATGGTTAATCTAAATTTATTATCATTCCAGTAAATTAAATTAATAACATTATGAAATAAATAATATTAATAGTAAGTAAGATTAGTAACATTAATTATATAGGAAATGCATAAGTCAAAACGTCAGGTGGTTATAAATTCGTAATTGGCTCTCTTAGATACTAAAATGGTTGCTAGCACGTTGACCGTCAAGGGCTGATTAAAGCACATTATGTCTAATTTCATTTGATCATTGTCGCATATGTAGTTACATAGAGACATCAGTTTGTAAAGCGGAGAATTTCTAGCCAGGTTTGAACGAACTGAATGAAGATAAAACGTAGGGTTTGACCTAGTGTTAGCTTGTGGGACTGCTATTGCAAACTGTTGCAAAAATCTAGGACATTCTATGCTACTATTGAATAGGCCTTTTACAAAAAGTATCGAAGCACAGATCCTCCTCTCCTCCAGGGTGAGTAACCCAGCATCCAAGCAGAGAGAATGATACTCTGTGCCTCTTTCAGGATATATCCCATACTTTTTGTAAGCAAGGTACTTTAAAAATCTACGTTGGACCTTTTCCAGTTCCAGCTTATGCTTAGCATATAAAGGAGACCAGACTACTGCAGTATATTCCAGCTTAGGACGTACCAGCGCAATATAAAGTGTTAAGATGGCTTTAATGTTCGTAAACTTTTTAGTTAATCTAATAACAAAACCTAGTTATTAGATATTAAAAAATTTTTAGGCTATTTTCAGATAACATCACAGTGGCAGCTCCGGAAAATTATTATGGAGCGTCTTTAAATTGTCTCAAAATTATCTTAAATTAGTCTTAAAAAAATCTTAACAAAAAATTTAGACTATTTTAAAATGGGTTAACAGCGACAGAGCCCCGTGAACATTAAAACGGAACGTCTTAAAAAAGTCTTAAAATTGTCAGATAATAATTTTTTAACAATTTTAAATTCAATTTAAAAACATCTTACTCAAAAATATTGCGGTTAGAAAGTCGTAAAATCATCTAAAAATTAATTTTCACAACAAATTCGAGAACAAAATTTTCAAAAATCTGCTCTTGGAATTTTTCTTTTGGCGTCTTAAAAGAGTCTTAAAATAGTCTTAGTTTGTGTCACATTTAAGATCTTAAACGAACGACAATTTTAAAACAATTTTAAGACGATTTTTTTTTTTACACGGGTTCTAATTAAATATTTTTCACGATTCTACGTCACAGATTAAATAAAAAATTAATGATTTCAGACCAACTGTACCATTAAAAAATCGTAATGTTTAACCAATAAATTACATATTAACTATTTCATCAGATAATGTCAAAATATAAGGCACCACTTGTGCACAAATCTTCAAATTGTTCAAATTAACACTTTGTTATATTTTTGTATTGTATAATAGTGACTGATTCTTAAAAAAAAATGCGATTGGTTTGTCTTCAAATTATCGAAGTACGTGTGATCGAAATAAATAAAATCGAAATAATAGATAAAAATAAATATTTGTTCTGGTGTAAGTTGACACACGGATACAACTAATGACTTCTTAATAATTTTTAGATCTGTACTAATAATTACAGGTGGCAATAGTATGTGTGAACAAGTGGCTTATCAAGTATTTATAATAACTAACGCTCCTTTTATAAGCCAGTTATTGACGATTTTATTGTACTCTACTTTTTGGTTTTGAGGAGCATTCACTTTTTAAAAATTAACATGCGGTTCAGCGGTAAGTTTCTTTTCTCTTTATTTTTTTTTGTCGGCAAATCAAATCTTTAACGAAATCACAAAAATTTTGATGAGTTTTAATAAAAAAAAAGTTATTAATTGTTTTTTCTATCAATTATAGTTTTATGATGGAATGAAAATAATTAATGATCGGACTCACTCTCTAAAAATGAATCAGTGGAATTTCACTGTTTCGCAGTTATAAGTCTACCAAGTGGTATACTTATAACTGTGAAACAGTGAATTTACTACTAATTTCCAGTGATTTTCACTGTTTCAGATTTAGAGAGCAACTATAAAAAAAATTTTTTTTGTAAATGAGTAGATGTGAAAAAACTTTTTTACAAAATTAAAAATTGCTTTTAAAATTTTTTTCGATTATTTTTCATCAAAAAGACAACTTTTTAACTACTAAGAAATCGTTTAAAAAATTGATTTTAGGATTTATATCAGTGGTTTTTATCGGGTTACTCCTTCTTTTGGAAGTATCTGCGAGACAAAATGAAGAGGTGAAATTCATTTTACTTAATAAAACGATAATAAAAAATTTTTTTTAATAAACTCTTTCAATAATGTTTTTATCGATAGCGCAACTATGGATCATTTGGGAGACGCCCATCTACTCATCTTAGATCGCCTCAGAATAATCGTAAATATACATTCATAATTTGTGACATAATACACACATAAAGTGATAAAAAACTTGAAATGCAAATGAGTGAACAAAATAAAATTTCAGTTATAGGGCCGTCTTATGCGACAGTCCCGAATAATCCATCGCTGGATAGAAGAATTAGAAATAGAAGAATAAGTTTCAGAAGAATTAAATCATGGCTCGATCCCAGGCACGGTGTTCTCTTCAACCTAGATACACCAGTTTATTCGGTCAGAAATACTAACAGGGCACTTCACCCTGAGATTGAAGAATACCCAAATGTAAGATTATTTTTTTACAAAGCGATTTTGAATTTGCTTATCAAAAATATAGCAATTTTTTTTTTTTGTGAATAGGTGTTCCGTCACGTGATATCAAATTTGTATGAAGATATTGCGAGTGCTTCAGTACCAGAAATAATCAAACGCAATTATTACAGGGCTTTGGTAATTATAGAAGAAAAATTGAATTTTAGTTTTATTTGGAAAATATATTAAATAAATATTTGAAAATTTTAGACTAATAATATTCGAAGACCTGTACCTCCTCGTTTTCGGCGTCCACAAATATATGTTCCAAAGACAATCCCATTCAATAGAAACGGACGTTTAAATATAGTATCTATTACCAATAATAGTTTTGATAGTTCATTTAGTGAGTATGTTTTGTAAATGATTTTTTCATTCAAAAATTCATGTTTCAAAATGAAACATTAATATATGATGATATTCAATCAATTTTTATTTTTTTTAGATAACTAATTAAATTAAATTTATTACATTTAATCTAATTAATCTCAATAAATTTTGATTTTTACTCTACTTAGATTTACAAATTATTGTTTTTGATTCACAGCATCATCGCCTCGACCAAAACTAGTAACCCCATCAATAATTCATCCCGAAGTATTGGTAATCGTTGACTACGCGCTGTACAAAAAATTTCACCGAAGTGTTTGGGAATTAGTTAATTACTTAATGGGATTTTGGAACGGCGTTGATTTCAGATTTCGAGATTTTAACCACCCTCATGTTAGATTGAGTATAGTTGGTATTCTTATTGCTGAGGTATGTGATAAGTGATAATTATCTTCATCAAACACAGTATAATAATATGTCTTAATAATTAATGATATGATTATTAAAATTATGTCTAATAACCATAATTGTTACGCAGGATGAAAAAGCTCTAAATTACATCTACAGAAATCGTGAGGGTCGTGATGCTGTGAACGGTAATAAATTAGTGAACGATAAACGATCATGGTTGTATGAACAAAGAGCCAAGTTTCCATTTACAAGTTATGATATTTCAATTACAATGACTGGGTAAATTTTAGCTCGATAAAACCAATTTAAGCTCTATTTTTCATGAACAATAATTATTCTTAATTTGTCGTGAACTTATTATTTAGGCTCAAAACCGATATGAAAGGCTTGGCCAGTATAGCAGCAGCTTGTCGAGTAAATCATGATACTAAAGTCGTATACCAAACAGGATTTGTTAGCGATTATGGTGGCTACGATGCTATCATGGCGGCTGCTCATGAAATCGGTCATTTGTAAGTAACCAAAAAATAATGTTAAATTTTGATAAAATCAATCAACTTTTACTATTTTCTCGTTCAAAAACTTAGATTAGGAATGACTCATGATAACAAAAAAGACGGTAAGTGTGGCTTCGACGATGGCTACATCATGGCTCCGATATTGAAATCCAAAAATACATCATGGAGCTGGTCACCTTGTTCGCATTCGGATTTCGACAATTTTATCAGGTAATTTTTAGCATGCTGACATTGATTTTTGACAATTGACGATCATTAATTACTCCTTATTAAATTTCATTTAATTGTATCATTAGCTGGGAAAATAAGACCTGCTTGTACAACAAACCCAGAACCAATGGAGTATTACCAAGACTACTGCCCGGAAAATTGTTAGACGGCGATGAACAGTGCAAAAGAGCGGGATTCCTTAAAGCTGTACTTGACGAAAAAACGTGTCTTAAATTAGAGTGCGTTGTGGAAAGTGGTGAACTTGAAGTTCATCGTATTTCTTCAGATGGAGCTGCTGACGGGACTACTTGTGGCGAAGGAAAAATTTGCCTTCGTGGACTTTGTCGACTGGAAAGATCTGTGAATTAATATTATCACGGTCGTAATAATTTAAACAAAGGAATACGTTATATAGAGGAGTTGAGCTTCTTTTTGATTAGATTTATGGTATTGGCAGTAATAGCTGGCTTTTGCCGCCAATTTTACGGTTATTTCTTGTAAAAAAATTTTTATATTGAAATTTTAAATACTGTAATAATTATATCATTATGTAATTTTTTAGTTTTACGAAGAAATACCTCAATAAATTCGAATATTTTCGATAGCAATTATTTTTTTTGTTTTTGTGTACATTATTATAATCACAATCGATTTTATATATAGATACAGACATAAAAATTTTGAAAAGCTTATAAAGAAAGAAATATAAATTTTTAACAAATCTTAATAATGTAATGTTGCTCATATTAAAATTTTAGAGATTTTATCGTTTTCTAAGTCAATAATTTTTTTTTCAAACCTCATGTAAGGAAATTTTTTATTTATGACTTTAATAAGAATTGATTATTTATTCTTTCATGTCTGTAATTTAATTTATTTTTCGATTTCCGTAGCAATTAATGAAAACTATCATCGATAATTATCACTTCATAAAATATTGTAATATTTAAATGAATAAATAAAAAAAATGTCAAAAAATTTTTCTCACTAGATGTTTTAGCCAGATAAACTTTAAGAAAATTATGCAAAATTTGATGAATAGAAAAAAAAATCAGATAAAATAATCATAAAAATGATAAATTAGGTACAGGTTGGGCGTGACCGATCTGCCGTATAATTTACAAGTTATTCCGGTATGATGTAACTCGTTTCATTTTAATTCAAACACGAAAACGTCAAAAATGGTAACGATGTATAAAAAATAGTAAGCATGTGTGAATATACATAGGAGAAAAAATATAGATATTTTCTTTTTAATTCATTGTCAATGTCCAGGTAAAAAATAATAAAGTGGTAGTGGAAATAAAAGTTTATAACACCCGTATTTTCGATTTAACAAGTCAGTCCTTAACCAGTCGATAAGAGTTGAAGGGAAGTTAGAAGATCTCCGTCGGTTTTTTTTTTTTTTTTTTCAACGCGGTAGGTAAAACTATTTAAATAGTATGTTAATTAATAAGTAAATTAACTCTTATTATATTTTAAAGCTTCTAGACCGCAAAAATGATTGTCCAATTTTTTCTGATTAATGTCATAACTTTTGTATCATCGCAATTGGTAAATTTAAAATTTATTAATTTAATGTTATTATTGTAATCGAGTTTCAAAATTTAAAAATTGTTTTCATCTTTATGATAGATACACAAACTAACGTCGGAGGATATGCAAAATGCATTTGCGAAGCACGTATACAGTGGTAAAAATTTTTTATTGAACAACAATTCGTGTGATATCAAATTTAGTAATTTATTGTTATTTCAGTGCCGAAGTTCGAAATTGTGCAGGTGGATGTTTTGGAAGTGCCAAGTAATTTTGATCATAATATTTACAGTTATAATATTCCAAGTAATAATTATAATAATAAAAATAGAAATAAAAATAAAAATAATAATAATAATTCCAATAATAACAATAATTACAATGGAAATGGACTTTTCATATCGTTAAAGCCGTTTGGAGAGCATATAAAAATGTGGCTCAATCCCGTTGACGGAATATTGGCAGGGGAAGATTTGCCAATTTATACGCTTTCGAGTGATCCTAATAATAGGAGCAAAGTTAAAACGGAAAAACATGTTGGAGTAAGTTTATTTGTAAATAATGTGAAAGTATTAGTTTGGAAAAATAATTTTCATCAAATCTTTTTTGAAAAAAGTCTTATTAAAAAATTTTTTTCCTTCTGTTACTTATAAAATTTTAAATCTAACTTAGATATTTTTTTAGTATATGAAATACGCACTTTCAAAATTATATGAAAACACACTGCACGCTACGACATTAGCGATTAATTATCATCCAGACGGAAAAAAAAGCATGGTAAGAAAACAAGTTTGGTTTTAAATTATCATACAGTATAAAAAATAAATTCCGTGACTATTTCGATAAGCTATAAGTTATAAATTGCTAGCATGTATAAATTTTCATCAGCTAAAATCTAAAATTCATTTTTTTTAATCCAAAAGTTTCGAAAATTCTTCAATTAAAAAATTTATCATAAGCATATTTCATTCAAATTTTACTATTTTATTAGACAGGTTTCATAGGAAACTCCTACATTCGTCCGGTACTGTCCGAAATGATAAACCAGGTAAAGAGGTACCGCAGAGCTTTAAACGATACTGATCATCTTGATAACAAGATTTACCACATAATTCAAAAGATACCTGAGTCCGAGCTCAAGAAAGAGTTACGTAAGTTTCAATTTTAGATTTCGTTTTTCTATAAATCGACAATTCAATGTCTGACAACGCTAATTTGACACATAACTGATTGCCTAGCATTGAAAATAATAAAATCAAGGTCCAGAAGGTCTTACCCAACAGTCCTTTATCCAGAAGTACTAGTTATCGTCGACTACAGCCTGAATCGCAAATTCGGGGGCAATATAAAGGAAATCCTTGTCTATCTATTGTCGTACTGGAATGGCGTCGACATGCGATTCCGAGGGATTGAAAACCCTAAGATAAGGCTAAATATCGCGGGAATTATGTTTGCTCAAGTACTCATCATTACTTCTTTATTTATTGAATAATTTTGCTCAATTGATTAATCAACTATTGAAAAATTCAAATTTTTTTTCTAGGATCCGTGGGGCCTGTCGTACATTAAAAACTACATTGAAGGGAACCGGGTCAATGATTACATTTCAAAAATCGAATCCAAGGGACGTTGGTTATACAGAATGAATTCGGTGATTCCGATTGACAGTTATGACGTCGCTGTAACAATGATGACGTAAGTTTTGAACAATTCAAAAAATGTGTATGCAAATTGAATAAATCTAACATATTTTAACATTTTTTTTTTCTAAGACATAAGATGTGCGATTATCAAGAATGTGCAATTTTGGGCGTCAGTCCAGTTGGATCAGCTTGTCACGTGGATCATGCTCATCAAACAATGCACAAAATTTTAATTGTTCGTGACACTGGGGCTTATGAAGGAATTTCATCTACCGTCCATGAATTAGGCCATGCGTAAATATTTTTATAAATTGTTTAGAACTACAATTATGCAATTTGAATTATTTTATTATTTAAACGATAAGTTATTAATGATTTTTATTAAAAATTAGATTTGGTATGAACCATGATGGCCAAATAAACAGAGGATGTCCGAGCCAAAATGGCTTCATAATGGCGCCCAGTGATGTACACACTCTTCAACAATTTGACTGGTCTTTATGCTCGTTAATTGATCTTCAAAACTTTGTCAAGTACTCTGAATTCTATCTCTTTAATGATTTCTAAGTATAAGCAGTTGATTAAATCATTAATGAATATTAATATGTTTTTTAGAATGAATCCCAAATGTATGTTGAACAAACCTCACCAAGGAAAACAGCTGCAAAGATTTTTACCGGGAAAACTAATGGATGCAAACAAGCAATGCCAAATGTTGAATGCACTCAGAGCTTTTGTAATCAATGACAGTATTTGTTTGCGCTTGCAATGTGTTTTTGGAATAAATGCTTTGTTCTCGGATTACGTTATACCCTCGGCTGCTGAAGGAACACCGTGTGGCGTAGGAAAAATTTGCCTTCATGGTAAATGTATTTATGAAAGTCAAATTACGTATTGATGCTGTCATTTTGTCTTTGTTCTAAGTGATAATATTAATTGTAATTTTTTTGTCTAAATCTGTAATAAAAGTTTCAATATGATTCATGTTTTTGGAAAAATACAATAAATCTTTAACTAACGTAAATCATTTCATATATTTTCTTTCAATGAAAAAATAGAACTTTTATTTCTAGCAGCTGTGGTAAACAAATGCTACCAGATTCAAGATAGAGACAAACGTATTAGGTATTGATAATAATTTTTAACTTCCCGCTAAAAATCTCAGATTTTCAAAAATCGGGAAGTTATTGTTTTCACCCCGTTTTACAAAAATCGAGTTTTCATCAAATCTCGACGTTTGAAGGTCACAGGAAGCTTCCTTGACTATTTTTACGATGATGTCCGTACGTCTGTGTGTGTGTGTGTGTGTGTGTGTGTGTGTGTGTAGTAATCTTTGTAACTTTTTGAAACGGCTTGACCGATTTGTATCGCGGTTGGCGCCATTGAAGGGGACTATTTTTACGATGATGTCCGTAACTATTTTACGTATGATGTCCGTACGTCTGTGTGTGTGTGTGTGTGTGTGTGTGTGTGTGTGTGTAAATCTCTTGTAACTTTTGAACGGCTTGACCGATTTGATCGCGGTTGGCGCCATTTGAAAGGGCTTGCCCAAACTTAGATTTCCTGAAAATTTGAACCGATTCGGACCGGTAGATTTTGAGAAAATGCAAAAAAAGTGAAAAAAAAAGTTGTTTTTTTTTTTAAATTTTTTTTAAATATCTCCGAATTGACTGAACCGATCGGTCTCAAAATCTAATCAGCTCTTAACCTTGAAAACCCCCATCGATCGCCACCAAAAACGTTAGAATCGGTTGATGCGTTCGTGAGATATCGTTGTCGAAAAAAATCGAAAAAAGTGTTTTTTTGTAATAACTTCGAAATTCATGGCTCGATCGATTTAAACTTAAGAATTTTTCATGGAGCTTCAGAAACTGCGTCGATTGCCGCCAACCGCGTGAAAATCGGTTTATTCATTCAAAAGTTCATTCATTCAATTCTTTTTAATTTTGTATTCAAATTACTTTCTAATTTTGTATTCAAAGTACTTCCTCACTTTGTAATACTATTAAATTTCTACGGCCTTTAAGGAACGTCAGTTCTAGGGCCGAATTTCTTCAATAAATAAAAAAAAAAAAAAAAGTTATAGCAGTTTAAAAATTTAAAAAATCGTGTTTTATCAAATTTTGATAAGACTTTTGAGCTCGAAGAGCTCAGAAGCTTAAAACAGCTACTTTTTTTATAGAGTTCAAAAAACTGCGTCGATTGCCGCCAACCACCTGAAAATCGGTTCATTCATTCAAAAGTTATTGCCGTTTGAAAATTCAAAAAATTTTGTGTTTAAACTGCTATTAGAGTTTTGACTTCGAAGAGCTCAAAAACGTAATGTGTAGTTTGAAGCGTTTAAGTACAAAATGAGCGGGAAGTTGCAGGGATGGCCTTTAGGGTGAACCGTTTTTCTAATTTTTTTATCTAACGAACGGCTTTAGAGATTATTCTTCAATAACACTTTGTAAGAATGTGTTATGTTAATAATAGTGGATTAACGTTTTTAAGAAATTGTCTGATAGTTTGTGTTTCTAAAAATAAGATAAGTGAAATTTTAAATGGGTGTCTTAAATAATTTTTGAGCTACAGCTTTTGAAAAATGCCTGAAAATTTTTTTTAAATCCCCGAAATTTTCTTTTTTTGGACGATCATACTATTGGAGCCCCTTAAAAGGGATTTAATTTAAATGACTAATAAAACTTCAACACACAAATGGCAGAAACGAATCTTATACCGCCTTTAACTGCAATATATGCTACACTTAGCACTTTTTACAGTTTTAAAATAAAACTTCACAATTTTTTGCAAAATAACATTTTTACCGGTCGCTTCGCATAAATTTTGAAGAATAATAACAATTCTTGCTGTTCAAACTTTAATTTTCTAATTATTGCAATTATCGCGATGTATTTCTTCGAACAAAGATTGGTAATATAACGATTTCAGTCTCGCAACAACTGAAAACTAAAACTATTCTAACCAATTAAGTTGTTGCTAGGTGAAAAATTTTTGTAAAATATTCGAGCTGTCCTCAAAAAATTAATGACTTTACGTTACAACTTTAAAAACTACCAAACACGATTGAGCAAAGAGCAATAGATCATACTTCATACGTAATAATTATTAACAACTTGGTACTGAAAAAAGAGCAATGACGTCAGCAATAAATATAAATTACGCAACTTGCGTCAAATCGATAAAACAGGTACTAAATATTGATGGGTTTAAATATATTAACTATTTGTACGACCACAATAAATTCATGAAGAACACAGAGAAAGTGCATAAAACCGTTAATAAAAATTGATAGATTATCTGATTTAAGTATTGAGTCAAGTGTACTCGCTTGAACGCATTGTTCAACGCAGTCATATATCTATGAGATCCTGCGATAGAGTTTACTGTTTTTGAATCGTTCAAACCAAAAAGACCTCCCTCATTATGGTTTTTGTAGAGTTAGTTCTAATCATTTTTGCAGTCACGGGCTCGCAATCGGTAATTGCAAATTGCAAATGTTTATTTCAAAATCTATTACCGTTATAAAATTAACATTAATTGCTATTGCAGATCCACCATAGAATGACTACGAATGAATCGATCGAAATTTTTGGTGTCGAAACTTTATCGGAAGGTGATAATACAAATTTTTAAGATTTTTTTTGCATAAGAACAGTCGGTAATTATCATAAATGAAATATTCTAGTGCCTCATTACGATGTTGTACCCATTTCTGTAACAGAATCACAAAATTACCGGAAGAGCCTCCTCATTTCTGTAAAACCTTTTGGAAAACATATAAAAATGTGGCTTAATCCTGCATCTGGGATCCTGGCGGGTGCCAAAGATATGCCTATTTACAAGATATCAAGTGATCCGGATAATAAAAGCATGGTTGACATACAAACAGACCAAAATATAAGATAAAATTTCAAAATGATATCTAAATCTTTGATCCAAAAGATGGATGAGATAAGTTTTTGTTTTAGTTGATAAAGTCGCTACTTCCTCAAATGTACGAAAACACTTTGTATGCCACTACAATTGCTGTTAACAATCATTCTCTTGGACAAAGTCTGGTAAGATTGATCCCATTGCTCACAAAAAAATTTGTTGGTGTAAAATACTATTGGACTGTTTTTTTTTCTTTGTGTAGAAAGGTGTAATTGGAGATTCATTCATTCAACCGGTCCCACATCGACTAAGAAATCATGTAAAGAAACTAAAGAAGCTTCATCATCTAGACAACCGAGTTTATCACATTGTTCACAAGATATCTTCCAAAAACATGCATTCTCGTGAGTATTGCGAATGATTTGATTAGTTTAGACTTTTGATGCAATTTGAACGATTTAATTCAATTTTTGCAGCAACATTGAACGTAAAGGCATCAAAAATTTCAAGATCAAAAAATCTGTATCCGAATGTCATATACCCCGAAATCTTGATTATAGCCGACTACAACTTTTTGAAAAAGTTTGAGAAAATCGAAGATGCTGTAATGTATCTTCTGACCTTTTGGAACGGTGTTGATATGAGGTATAGAAGTTTAGAACATCCAAAAGTTAGGTTAAACATTGCTGGTATTGTGGTTGCTCAGGTAATTTGCAAATTTCTTCAGTTTTTCACCCTTTAAATTGAACTCTAGAAGTTTAATAGTTGAAAAATTTTGATTCACCGTAGGATCCATTTGTTCTCCGATGCATGAATATAGTTAACGAAAAACTGATGGGATCTTCAAACATTCTGAGTGCAATGGGCAAGTGGTTGTACTTCATGTACAAGTGGATTCCAATCACGAGTTATGATATTGCAGTGACTATGAGTCCGTAAGTATCCACAAATCAAGAAACAAATATGATGAAGAGAATTAATAATCAATATTTCATGAACAGATTTGAGTTATGTGAGTACGAATCCTTGTGTGGTATTCTTGGACAAGTTGCAGAAGTAGGAGCCGCTTGTCATGTCTCAAAGAAGCATCAGACAACAAAGAAAGTAGCAATTATTCGTGACAGGGCCGCTTTTGATGGTGTAAATACTGCAGCTCACGAATTGGGGCACATGTAAGTTGATTCTGATTTATGATTCATTTCAAAATGATCATTTGTTATTGTATTATATGATTGCTACTGTAGGTTTGGAATGATGCATGATGGTCAATTCAACAGAAAGTGCAGTGAAAAGCATGGTTTTATCATGTCACCGACGAATCAACATTCAAAGTACTCATTTGAATGGTCAAAGTGTTCTCTCACTGATATGCAGCGTTTCTTAACGTAAAGATATTATAATTATAATTTGGTAGAAGGAATTATGTGTTTGGATTTTAATCTTACTACCTTCATTAATTTTAGAAACTCAAGAGCATCTTGTTTGGAGAACAAGCCCAATCAGGGCAAAGCAATAGAGCGATATTTACCAGGAAAATTAATGGACGCAGATCAACAATGCAAATTTATGAAAGCTGGTAAAGCGCTTGTGCTTTATGATAGATGACAGCTTTATGATAGGTGATAGATGACAGTATTTGCACGCAGCTCAAGTGCTTGATACACGGAAAAAAAAATATCGCTCTCAGAGCTATATTGTAATGCTACAGTAACTATCCCCACTCGACTAACTGTTAGAGAGTTACTAGAGCCATCTAGTAGATCGCTCTGGCAGGTATACAGTAGATGGCTAAAATAGCTAAACCGTTGAGCTGGGAGAGCAATACGGGATTGCTGTGAGGGGTAAACGCCTCGTTGAAGTCTCAGATTCTGCGCGAAGTCTTGTTTGTTGACATATTTTATAACCTTTAAAATTAATATAATTATTTACTAGCAATCTGTAGTTAATATGCGACTGTCAAGAGTTATGGATTATAATTAAAAAAAAACTTTGGCTTATTAATTTTTTGTTTTTTCCAATAGAGATATTAATAGTTAGGGTACTTTTTAAATAAATTTGAAAATAATTAGTGCAATGAAAAAATCAAATCCGAATAATTTAATGAAAAATATGGTGGAGCAAATTTATAGAACCAACAAATTATTTAAAACCCCTTCCGAAATTCGAAAAAAAACAGTCGAAATATTTAAAACACAGGAATGTGTGTAGAAACATTTAATTTGTATAATTATTTTTTTTAAAATGGTACATGAAAAATAAATAAATAATATCAAAAATGTGATACTAAAGTTAATTGACAACTGTCAATTTTTTTTTAAATTTTATAACAAATCAATGACAGTAAAAAATGCTTCTAAAAATTTTCACTAAGAATTTTTTTTAATTCTCACATGTGGAATTTTTTCATTAAATTTTTTACGTAATAATTTTATTGCTAAAAATTTCTAATGTCTTTCAACTTCAATGTCATTCAAAAACTTAATAATTTAATATGTAATCTATTTTTTAATTCTTAATTACTTATTTTTTTTTATTTATCCATACAATTTTTAAATAAAAATTAACAAAAGATTAGAAGAATGAAATGTTTTGATTTTATAATCATGAGGTTTGAGGTTGGTTGTTCATATTTTATGACAAATAAATAAGTATTTACTTATCAATAAATTGATTTTTGTAATCAGTAAAATTCCATTCTTGTAAAATTTTTCCTACCCACGAATCCATATTTAATTAAAACAAATATTTAAGTCATTTTTTTTAAATTGATCATTGGCACAAAAAAACACGTGTGTCACTTTTATGTGGTCCGGATAAATATGTTTTGTCCGGTAAGAGGGCGTTGTAAGAGAAATGTAGTTGGCGATTCTAGCTATCTAACAGATCGCTCCAGTAGCCATACCGTATTGCTGCTGTAGGAATGCATAATGCTACAGTAACTTTCTACGAGTAGGTATCTAATAGATGGCTCCAGTAACAATATTTTTTTTTCCGTGTAGAGGTTCATTCGGATTCGTTGCCTAAAGCTGCTGAAGGTACGACTTGTGGTGATGGAAAACTCTGTCTTCACGGAAGATGTGTTCCCGAAAGCAGTGTAACGTTGTAAAAATGTGATTATATTTTGATATTTTAATAAAAATTTTATAAAAAAATAAACAAAACTCATAATTTTTTAACTTTAACTTTTCCTTTCCTGACATTGAAATCCCTTGGTTCACTGTTTGAAATTTTTATAATTTTTGACCTGAACCGAGTGGTACCTTGGGTACATACTGTAGAATTTTTTAGTCTACGGGTATATAAAGCCCAAAATTAGACACATTTTGTTTACATGAAGGTCATAAATATCCGGATATTGACGTAAATAAATTTTGTATACTGATATGCACAAATTATTGTAAATAAGCACACATGTGGACGTATAAACGGATAAAATCAACAAATTTGTTTTATCAGTGATAATAAATCGCTGAATGACAATATCATAATGCGTCGGATCATTTTGATGTCTATGACCATAGAAAATTGAATCACGTAATAATTGTGATTTATTGAATATTGATTTATAAGGTAAACGCAATGAATTCGATCCAAAACAATTTCAAGGGCAGCTAATACGTATTTATAATGCCCAAAATAGGACACCTAGTTCAGTATTCTGTTCATTTTCTGGATGAAAACTGTAGTTTGATCCAGCTTAGTATTAATATTAGTCGATAAAAAATTAGATATTCATCTGCTAATTTTTTATTCCGCAAAAATGATTGCAGAATTAATTTTACTCGGTGTTATTTCGAGTGTATACTCTCAATCGGTAACTATGACAATGAAAATTTATAAAGAACATTGCTTAATAAAGTAGAAGTCAAAAATAATCAATGACATTACAGCTCCATCATGCGATGACACCTGAAGAACTGGATAGTATTTTTTCAGTGAAGAGTCATTCTGAAGGTAATCGAATCGTGGAACAAAATAAACTGTTCTAATCATAGAAATTTTTAATGAAAATGATTAATTTGTCTAATTTTAGTCCCAGAGTATGATGTTGTACCAGTTTCCGTAGTACAGTCCCGAAAGCGACGCGATAATGGGCTTTACATCAGCACGGAACGGTTTGGTAGGCACATCAAAGCATGGTTGAATCCTATGGACGGAATATTAGCAGGCGACAAGACACCAGTTCACTTCTTGGCAGAAAATCCTCAGAATAGATACTATCCTAAAGTTCTTACAGCTAGAGATGTAAGCTTTTTCATGAAATTCGTGTCTGTTAATAATCGAAAAATTAATTCTAACGTATTTAATATCTAGATGCTTAAACAAATATTACCCAAATTGTACGAGAATCATTTACACGCCACTACACTAGCAGTCAATCGTCATAGCAATGGAAAACGGAGTGTGGTAAATTTTTAAAAAATCATTCTCCTTAATACGAGGTTTAAGATTGCGATTGCAAATAAACATTGTTATTTTTCATCAGAGAGGTTTCATTGGAGACACACACATTCAACCGGTACCTTCTCATCTTATGGACCACGCTAAAAGACATCGGAGATCAGTTAAAGGTTCACTGGATGAAGAATCCGATCATGAGAACTATCACGTCGTTCGCAAAATACCGAAACTTGAAGGAATTCACTACTCTCGTAAGTATTTCAATACTAATCATAAGATTCATCGATTATGATTATCATATGATTTTATACAGCTCCCATAGAAGCCTTTACAAATTCAAGTAGATCTCGTAGATCAAGTGAAAATGATGAAGTTAGGATATATCCAGAAATAATCTATCCCGAAATTTTTGTAATTGTCGACTACCCGTTATTGAACCAATTTAAATCCCAATGGATAGAGTTGTTAGTTTATATTTTGACTTTCTGGAACGGAGTTGACCTGAGATACAGAGATATTGTTCATCCGAGAGTAAGATTTAACATCCATAGCATTGCTATTTGTGTGGTAAGTTCATGAAATTCGAACGTACAGCAAAATTTTCAATATCCTATTATGAATTGATTTCATTTTTAGAAACCAAATGTACTTCCATATTTACAAGCGTATGGAAATGGACAAGGAGTAGATGTTAATCGTTCCTTAAATGCTAAAGCTGATTGGCTAAAACGTATGAGTAAGCACTTTGGATACCAAACATATGACATTGCAGTAACAATGACTACGTGTGTATTCAATATAACTATTGTATTCGTAAAAATGATTTGAACAATGTTATTTATCTCTGAACTGTTATTTTCAGATATGATTTATGTTCAGCAAACGCTGATGGTTGTAATGTCTTAGGAGTAGCGAATTTGAAAGGAGCTTGCACTAATGATAATGTTGCTTTAGTGAAAGATACAGGCGGTTTCGGTGGTATAATGACAACTGCTCATGAATTGGGACATGCGTAAGTGAAATGTTCAATTAATTATTGGATTCAAATATCTTACACTGGTCATAATTTGATTGTTCATTAGCTTCGAAATGACGCAATAATTACCCTAATGATGATGATTTTATTTAATTTGTATATAGCTTTGGTATGAAACATGACGATCAAGCCGAGAGAAATTGTAATGATAAAGTGGGCAATGTTATGGCTCCGGTTAAGACTAATACACCCAATTCGTATGTATGGTCCTACTGTTCTCTGAGGGATTTTCAAGACTTTATAGTGTAAGAAATGTTTCAGTTTAAAAAGAAATCAACTGTATACGAAAGGATCAATTAATTGAATTAATTATTTTTTTTTAGACAACACGGAGATTGTTTGGATAATCCACCTGCTCAGCAGAAACCCTTATATAAATTCATGCCGGGAATGTTGATGGATGCTAATAAACAATGCGAAATGCTACTTGGACGTGGGGTAAAGGCTTATCGGATAGATGATAGCATTTGTACTCAACTACAATGTACGGCGAGAACCAACTATCCGTTACCGGAAGCTGCTGACGGAACGACCTGCGGTCGAGGAAAAATGTGCCTTCATGGATTGTGTAGATTTGCAAGCACAATTAACTAGTAATTAAGTTTTACAGTAAATTGATAACCTGTAATATGTGTTTGTTAACCGAATAATTGATGTTAAATAAAGTTTGATGATTACAATACTCATTGTTGTTTTTAATGAATTTTACACCTTGAAATCTCAGGCTCTGCTAAAAAATTTACTCTATTAGTTAATAGTCAATGATTTTTCTATCAAAAATTTAACATTGTTGATTTGTTGCATTGAAGTAAGAATTACAAAAAAATTAAGTAAATTTAAACATAAAAAGTTTTAATGAAATAGTAAATCTGTTAATCAGGACTTCATAATTAATAAATTTCCAATCTTGATATGAAAAAAGGTTTGGAAAGTATGTCATTGATAAAGTTGATTTTTGCAGATGATATTTCTCATATCAAAAAATAATAAATATTTACATAAATAAACATTGTATTAGATTCGATGTCATATCAAATGTTACTAATTGGTAATCGTTGAATTGATGATCGAGAAAACTGAACTTGGCATTGATAATAATTCATAATATTTAAATAAATATGATGATTTATTTTGGGGAAATCGAAACTGATTATGAAAATATTTACAATTGATTATGACGTACAAAGTGGTAACTGTCAACGTTTTCAAGAATTATGATCAGCCATGTGTTTACCGATAAATACTTGTGGATGACAACAATAAATCGTGTAACATTACGATATGTAAAATTCGGTCAATGAAGACCATAACTAATTGTATGATTTATTCAATGGTACAAGTGTTGTAATTTCAAAACATCGCCAAGGTCAATTTCTGCCTATTTATAATGCCCATCAAAAAATTTAGTTCAGCCTTTGTCTTCCTGGTCAAAATTGACTGTTTCGAATTGTTGAATCGCGAAGTAATATTTCAAATTTACTCGTGTTGGTTTTATAAAATGATTACAGAATTATTTTTGCTCGGTATAATTTCGAGTGTATGCTCGCAATCGGTAGTTATCACAATGAAAATTTATAAAAATTTTATTAGAAACTAAATGCAATTAATTAAATTTCAGCTCCATCATGCGATGACACCAGAAGAACTGCATGGTATCTTTTCAGTGAAGAGTCACTCTGAAGGTTATCCCATTACAGGATATAATTTACTTATTTATCATTAAAAGTTTTTATGAGAAACTTATCAATTTGTCTGATTTCAGTTCCAGAGTACGATGTTGTTCCAGTTTCTGTAGTTAAATCTCGGAAGCGACGCGATAATTGGCTTTATATGAGTACAGAAAAATTTGGCCAAAACATAAGCGCATGGTTATATCCTACTGACGGAATATTAGCGGACATAGATATGCCAGTTCACTTTTTATCCAAGAATCTTTATAGTGACTATCCCAACTTCGAAATTCAAACATTTAGAAATGTAAGCTCCTACATTAATTAAATGAATATTTTTTACTGAATAAATTATTAATGCTAATGTAATTTACAAAAAGTTGGTGGGAGGAATAATAAAGCAATTATACGAAAAGCAATTATAATTAAAGCAATTATAGGCACCGAAGGTCCCTAAACATTTCACTGGACCGTGAATCTGATGATCAAATTTATCATATTGTTCGCAAAATTCCAAAATATGATCTCAAGATCCACTCTGGTAACATCTAAACGGCTTTCATTAATCTTTTGCATCAATCTTATGAATATTTTCCCAATTCTTTTCAGATTCTTTAAACCTACTACCAAACATTCAAAATGAGACATCTAAAACAAAAAGATCGTACGGTCAAGTTAATCAAGAAACCTCTCCGAGAACAATCTATCCAGAAATTCTTCTGATTGTTCCTCTGACATTATCTCAAAAAATTGGTAACGGTGATGCAAATATACTTGCATATCTTTTGTCATATTGGAACGGAGTTGATATGAGATACAGAAGTTTAGAGAATCCAAGAATTAGATTGAACATCGCTGCAATCGTTTTTGCTGAGGTGATTCTTTAGAACCGTCGAAATTTTTTATCTGTATTAACTTTTTACTAACTTCAATCAATAATATTTTTTCCAGGATCACTACGTTCTTCCATACATGACAACAGAGAATTATGTAATGCAGGATTCTGTTGGCAAACTTGAAAGGAAACGAATCTGGCTGAATGAGCTTCATCGATACTTCGCTCTTAATTACGATTTAGCTGTCACTATGTTACCGTAAGTATCATTATCAATTTTTGTATAATTGATACATTAGTTACGAAATTGATTGAATAAATTGACAGATATGTCATGTGCGGTGACAATGGATGCGGAACATTTGGACTAGCTTATCCCGGAGGAGCTTGTTCGGTGTATAATAAAGTAGCTTTTGTGACAGACCGAGGCGCTTACGATGGTATTCAATCAACCGCTCATGAATTAGGACACTTGTAAGTCATAATACTATCAAAAATGTGTTCAAGATAACCAGTAAGGAATTTGTTCTAGATTCGGTATGGTTCATGATGGCGAACAAAACAAATGTCAAGATAGCGATGGATACATAATGACCAGATGGGATAAATATTCATCACATTCATTTGATTGGTCACCGTGTTCCTTACAAAAAATGGATACATTTTTAAAGTAAGAGAAATTGTCAACTATCTAACTAAAAAACTTAAGTTAAAGAAAGTGAAAATGATGATTTTGATATTCGTAGGAGTAAAGGCAGTTGGTGCTTAAAAAATCATCCTAATCAAGGTAGAAAAATACCTCGGTACTTGCCAGGAAAGCGGATGGATGCTAATCAACAATGTAAACAGTTGGTCAACGGTGTAGCGACTTATATTGGAGACTCTATTTGCACTCAACTCAAATGTTTGATACAATACAATTTTGCTTTGCCTGAAGCTGCTGAAGGCACTGTTTGTGGATACCGAAAATTATGTCTTCACGGAAAATGTATTCCGGAACATTGGGTGGTTTGATATTGTTATTCGAAGGGTTATGTTCAATATGGTTTATGAAATTTGATGTAATTTGCTTAATAAATTCATTGATAATTTGCTTGATTTGAATATTTCTTATTTTTTAACCAATTTTTATCTTTGGTAAATAGAAAAATAATGTTTGTTAAGCGGCAATATTTCAAGCTTTGAATCTAAGTCATGGTGAAAAATATTTGAATATAATGATATGCTCTATTTATCAAAACTAAACCTTACTATTTGTAGATCAAAGAGTTATTAGTTCTCAAATATTTTAATATGAATGCGTTGATAAATAATGACAATGAAAAACTACGTGAGAGTCTTTTGATATATATGAAAAATAGATAGTAAATTGTAAAGCCTATGAAGTTTACTTAAGACGACAAATGTCATCGGCCTAATGTATTGCCAAGGGCAAGTCACATATTTATAATGCCCACAAAATTATCAACTCAACAGTTTTCGTCCATCTGTAGGCTGAAGACTACAGTCTGGTCAATTTTTTTAAATCTAGAAAAAAATCAAATTCTTCTAAGCTGCAAAAATGATTGCAGAATTGATTCTGCTCGGTGTCGTATCGAGTGTATCCTCGCAATCGGTAATTATCTTGAAAGAAAATTACCTAGAAATGGGTTCGTAAAAATTTGAATTTTAAAAAAATATTAAATTTCAGCTTCACCATGAGATGTCTCCAGAAGATCTAAACAAAATATTTTTGGTTAAAAGTGCCGCGGAAGGTAATGTCTACACACATTAAGAATCAAAAATTTGTTTTCAAAATTTTTTAATAATCAAATTTCTTTTAGTACCGGCTTATGACGTTGTACCGATTTCCATTACAAGACCTAGAGATCGACGTATGGTTAACGCATACCTTGTAGAAATTCCTTTTGGGAAGAATATAAAGATGTGGTTGAATCCTATGGATGGTATTCTGGCTAGCGAAAATTTGACAGTCAGTTCTGCGACATACAACCCTCGTAGCTATGACAAGCTGAATCTTCGAAACCGACCCGTATGTAAACAAAATTATCTAACAATGAATCAATAATCAGGACAACACTCCTGAGCCCATAATCTGCAAACTTAGATAATATTCTTAAAAATAAAGAAAGTTATAATATCAAATATTTTTTTTTCAGTCTGTCAAGCCTTACTTATACGCCATTTATGAGAATACTCGTTATGCTACTACTGTAGCTGTCAATAATCCTCCACGCGGAAGCCCATCGATGGTACGATGATTGTACTTAGTTTTAATTATTTACTGATTGTACTCCAATTCAAATCTTTGAATCATTATTTTAGACAGGATATATAGGCCAAAAATATATTCAACCAGTACCGCCCCATCTTGTGGAACACGCAAAAAGACATCGAAGATCACTCAATCAATCCCTCGATCATGAATTCGACAACTACATGTATCATATTGCCTACGATATTCCACAACCTATGAATAACATGAATTATCGTAAGTTTTTTCATCATAAAATCAAAACCACCATTGTTTAAGAGGTCTAAATAATTATTTTTTTTTATTTCTTCTCTTAGTTCCAATACAAGCGCCATTCACGAAAAATTCGACTAGATCGAAAAGAGATGCAGTTCCAGAAGTAATCTACCCTGAAATTCTCGTGATCGTAGAAAATAGCTTAATGAGACTAATGGGTGAAACTCCAGATCAGCAGTTGCTGTATGTTTTGGCATTCTGGAACGGAGTTGACATGAGATACAGAACTCTAGCGAATCCACGAGTCAGGCTGAACATTGCTCATATCATTTTCGCTGAGGTATCAATATTGAATTTCTGCATTTATCAACACTTTTTTGATATTGATTTCGAAGAAAGTTTATAATTAAAAATCTATTTTTAGGATAACGACGTTCTTACTTATCTAAACCCACAAAACAGTCGCTATTTTGTGCTAAACAACGACAATGCCATTGCCAATCAGGGAAGGTGGTTGTACCAAATTCAACGACAAGTTCCTCTTGCTTCTTACGATCTTGCTATAACCATGCTTCCGTAAGTATTCTTTATTACCTAATCTAAATATCATCAAAACTGTTTCGAGGTTTAATCTTTTCTATCCTTCACTTTTAGACACTTGATGTGCGCGAATAATCCAAATTCATGTAATACTCTTGGATTCGCAGCTATCTCTGGAGCTTGCTCTACAGATTATCAACACGGAATTACATATAAGGTCGGTTATGTCCTCGACAGAGGTGGTTACGACGGAATCCAAACAGCTGCGCATGAATTGGGACATTTGTACGTAAAAATCATTAGTATCTTTGCGATCAAATGATTATGTGCCTAAACTGATGTTGATTTTTTGCAGATTCGGTATTCAGCACGATGGCGAAAGAAACGGATGTCATGATCAACATGGCTACATAATGACTACATTCGACAAATTCACGCCTCAAGCATTTGATTGGTCACCATGTTCGCTACAATACATGGATCAATACCTTAAGTAAATACATGCTTGATTCATTTGGTGTGAGTTCTATTATAAAAATATTCATTGCTTGATGATTTTCAGGAGCGGAAAAGGATGGTGTTTATACAATTATCCATTTTATGACAAACCTTTCCAAAGATATTTACCAGGAAAACTAATGGATGCTAATAGGCAATGTAGGATTTTGAGAAAAGGATATGCGACGGTTATAGATGACTCCATTTGCACTCAATTGAAGTGTAACGGTATTCACACTGATGTTCGTTTGCCTGAAGCTGCAGAAGGTACTCCTTGTGGTCAGGGACGATTGTGCCTTCACGGAAGATGTGATTATGAAAGTTTGGTTGTTTAAATGTTTTCCAAATGAGTAATAATAATTTTTAGTTATCAAAGCAAAAGGTTTCGTTGTTATTTTTTTGAACAGACTTTGTAGATGACTGAAAATTTGAAGGCATAATGCAATATTAAATTTGACATGTTTTAAATCGATTATACACTTCCATATTTAATAAAGAAGCTTATTTCTCAACTTCGTTTTTATTAAAAATTTTGATTCAATACATTCAATAACCATGAGTGATGTAAGTTGAGTTGAGATTTGTGAAGAGAAAAATAATTATAACTTTCAGGTGTTGTAAACATATTCACAGATGTTCGATGACATTTCTGTGAATGTCGATCCGTTCCAAGATTAGCATCACTAATAAGGGATATATAAATCATTAACTCCCTGGATTTGGCGGCACTACGACATTTGCAAGCCTTATTTGAGAAATAATTTTTGTTTATGTAGACGGTGTTATAATAGCTTCCGAGACAATTAAGATAAGTTATTCTTCAGTTGAACGTGAGGTATTTTTACACCGGGTTTTTACTAGCCGAAAAATATTTATCGGGTTAATTTAGATAATTTTAGTTTGAAATATTTACTAATTTTTAGTGTGCTATTAATCTACTAAACTGTATTTATAATGCTCGAAGAACTATTGATTTAACAGTTTCCTTCTACCGTTGTGACGATAACTCTGAAAGTCTTGTGATTTGCTAATATTTAACTCTCTAATTGCAAAAAACTTCGTTACACTTGCCGCCTGTTTATTAAATACGCAAAATGATTAAGAACTTAATTTTATTATGCATATTTTCACATGTATTATCACAAACGGTAACTATTAGAGAATTTGTACAAAAAATTTTGAAAATTAGTGAAATGATTTTAATTAATTTGCATCAACAGATACATGATATGATGACACCAGAAGAAGTGAACAAAATATTTCCAGTCAAAAACTCTACTGAGAGTAATAAATCGTTTATTTTTATATCGTTTTAAGCTATTAATGTTTTAATAAAAATTTTAATGCTTCCTGTTACATTATTTTAGTACCAACTTACGACATTGTGCCGGTTTTGATAACGAAACCTGAAAACAAAAGCATAAATAGCTCCTATCTTTTTCAAACTCCTTTTGGAGAACATAAACATATGTGGTTAAATCCTTTGGACGGAATTTTGGCTAGTGAAAATATAACTATTTCTTCATTAAAGTACAATTCTAGTACCGATGGATTAAATATCACGGATTGGCCAAATGTAAGTCAACCAGAATTTCATTTGCCAATAAAAATGGACCAGAACTATTGAAAATTTTAATCAAATATTCTTTCAGTTGGTCGAAAGTATTATACCGAATATTTACGAAAACACATTACACGCTACAACAGTTGCTGTTAATAGTGATGCAAATGGATTGTTATCAATGGTAAAATAACTTATAAGCTTATTGCAAATTCAAAATATTACACCTAATAATATTGCATTGTTGCATTAGACGGGTTACATCGGTGATAAATTCATTCACCCTGTACCACCTCGGCTGAGAAGACACGCAAGGCGAAGAAGATCAATTAATTTCAAAACTGATTCCGACGATCAAGTTGATCATATCATTTACACTATTCCAAATCAATTGAACAAGCACTTATGTAAGTATCTAGAAGAGATCATGAAGATTTTGAACTTTTGATCAAATATCTTTTGGTTCAATTTTTTAGCACCAATAGAAACATTTACATTAATAAAGTCCAGATCGAAAAGATCCATTCCTGAAATAATATACCCCGAAATTTTGGTTATTGTTGATAATGTATTAAATGAAAGAATTGGTGGATCCATACGAGACAAACTTCTGTATCTTCTGGCATTTTGGAATGGGGTTGATATGAGATACAGAAGTTTGGAGAATCCTAGAATTAGGTTGAACATTGCTCGGATTGTTTTAGCAGAGGTATTAAAAAATAAGATATTTTTCAAGTAATATTACTATATTTTTGAGCTAACTTATTAAATAAATTTTTGTTTTAAGGATCGTCTACCCTACGTAACTGTCGATCTCAAAAGCAACTACTTTTTGATGAACCACGTTACTTCCCTACGGGCTCAAGGAAATTGGTTATTTAAGATGAACGAAACTATTCCACTTGATTCTTATGATTTAGCAGTGACAATGATACCGTAAGTATCCAATTATGATCAAAACTGGATAGAAATTTTTCAAAGATAAAAGTCTCAAAGTCTTAATAATTAGAATTGATCTGTTCGTCGTCAAAATTTGAACTAATTATAATTTACAGAAATCTATTTTGTGAGGATAAAATAGGACCGAACTGTACAGTCGTTGGACAAGCATTTCTCCACGGAGCTTGCAAAATATTATTTGTCAATAAAACCACGAACAAAGCAAGTTTTATACGAGATGTAGGAGGATTTGATGGAATCCAAACAGCTGCTCACGAATTGGGCCATTTGTAAGTATGGAAAATATAAAGCAAGTTTGAGACAAGCCAGTTATCCAAAAATTTTATAGGTTTGGTATGTTTCACGACGGTTTATATGGCTGTAATGATTCGCATGGTTACATAATGGCTTCGTCGGACAAATTTACTCCTCAGTCATTTGATTGGTCAAACTGTTCGCTGGGTCAAATGGACAAATATTTGAAGTAAGCTATTTTTCTATTTTTATTGATCTTGAGTCAGTCATGTGGAAAAAATTTGAAAACTTATCTTATAATTTATATAACTTTTGACTTTTAGAGATGGATTGGGGTCTTGTATGTTTAACTCTCCCATTTACCAAAGTAAACCGTTCCTCAGATATTTACCGGGAAAACTAATGAATGCTACTCAGCAGTGCACCATGTTCGTAAATGGATCTGCGACTGTTGAAGATGATACGATTTGCACTCAATTAAAGTGCTCGAAAAAGGGAGAAATTCGACTACCTGAAGCTGCTGAAGGCACTCCTTGTGGTGTTGAAAAACTATGTCTGCATGGACTTTGTACTGAAGAAAGTTCCATAGTATAGATATTCATTAAATGTGTACATAGAATTTTACTCAAAATTATACCATCTTTAGACTAACTTTTATGTAATTTTATTACGGATCAAAAATAAATCATTGTTGAAAATGGAAATTCTTAAAACTTTTATCATAACCATCTTCTAATTAATAATTTTTTAATATCAGGATTGAATTCTTGTTAATTACGTGAAATAATAAATAATTTAAAATAAAAATAACATTCGACTCATTATTTATCATAGTAAATGACGTCGGTAATAGTTAGAAAATACTTTATTTATATGACTTCACTTTATTTATATGACTTCAATTGATTTAAAGAAAATTATACATGCTTTTCAATATAAATAAGCCTATCTATTGATGTAAAAATATTGCTCTGCGTAAATATTTGTTTAGGGACTTGTTAGTAGACAATAGCAATAAATTATTGAATCTGAATCAAAGAGTAACAATATGTAAAAATAATCGTTAATAAATCATAGTTTTTCATGATTTAATGCTAAAAACAAGTGTCGTTGAAGACATCCTCAAGGGCAGTTATACATTTATAATCCTCAAAAATCGATGACACCCACAGTTTTTTTTCAGTTTTTTTGACGAATTTGTACAAAATTCGTTCTTTAATCTGCTGTATTGTAATTTTGTAAAATGGTTGTAAAGCTACTTTTGCTTGGTATTGTATCAAGCGTATACTCGCAATCGGTAACTATTTTTATCAAATAAAATCAGTAATCATTTTTAAATGAAATCATTATTACATTAAATAAATTACAGTTTCACCAGACGATTGAATCAGAGGACTTGGAGCATGTATTTTCTGTAAAAAAAGTTGCTGAAGGTAATGTCTGAAGATGTTAACTGAAGTAAATCATTAACAGCCTATATTATATTTACTATATAATTTTTCCAGTCCCAGATTACGATATCGTACCCATTTTGATAAAAAAAACCGCGAAGTCTCGGAATGAATGATAGGTTCCTTTTCCAGCGGCCTTTTGGAAATCCTAATATAAAATTGAGATGAAATGTATGTGGCATCAAACTATTCGTAACGTGATTGGTTGAATATATCATAAGCATGAAAATATATGCAAACTCTATAGTTAAAGCGCTTGCGCGCGTAAATTCAAATTCAAATTCTTTAAAAATGTGGTTAACGCCTTCGAATGGGACTTTATTCTCTAGAAATGCTCCAATTAGTTTTATAAGATATGATCCATATCAGGCTAACCAATTTATTTTCAGGATAAAAAAGTTTTAGATTATATGAACCCTTATGAGAAACGCGATCCAATCACCAAATTACCAATTTTGCGTAATGGTAGCTCTGCGCTGCGAAACAAAGGAAAGTGGTTGTACCAAATAAATAAAAAAATTCCAATCAGCTCTTATGATGTCGCAATTACTATGTTCACGTACGTATTTAACACATATTTAAATCATGATCTTACATACCTTTTCATTTTTTTCACGATTTATAAGGGTAAAAATGATTTTAATATAGATATATTTATGAAATTAACTTTTAATATTAAAATTGTAATCAAATTTGCACATTATTTTATAGTAATAATATCTGCCCAGAAGGTTTAAAGATCGCAAAATCTAAATGTATTAATATTGGATTAGCTTGTACAAGCTGCGCTTGTTATACAGAAGACCACTATAACATTACGTACAAAGTTGGTTTTGTACAAGATTTAGGTAATTACTGGGGTATTCAAACTGCCGCGCATGAATTAGGACACTTGTAAGTAAATTGTACAGTTAGCTTTTTATTTTAGAGAACTGATTTACAATCTTTAAAATAAAATGAAACCAATGTTAACGATATTTCAGATTTGGTAGCTATCATGATAACATAACTGAAAATGGATGTAGAAATGAAGATAATTACATTATGGCTACAAGTAATTGGAAAACAGAAAACTCATTTGACTGGTCGAATTGTTCCATTTCCCAAATGAATAGTTTTTTTAAGTAAGTTTATAATATATCTCCTATTTTTAAATTACAATAATTCAATGGAGATATTTAAAAGCGATTCATACTTTTTTTTCGGAAATAGTTCTTCGAGAGCAAAATGCTTGTTCGATGAGCCTCGTCATAGAGATCAATCTATACGAAGAACTAATTAACAATAATAACAGCTTAACAATGAAATTTGTAATAAGTTTTTAAGACGTTAACAAAAATTAAACTTTGAATAAAACATTAAATATAAATGTTCGATGAGATTAGGAAATCACATCGAGATAATTTAATGAACATACGATTATTCGTAATGATCACAGACATATTCGTCAGAATAATCTTCGCCAATACCTGCGCAAGAACCATAAGATCATTTATTAAAATTTTTACATTGAATCCATGACTCTGAGGACTCTGAGGAAAGTCCATAGCAATAAAGACAATGGCAATAATCATTTTTATATTTTAAAGGTTTTTTTTATCAAATTTTTTGGTTTTGATTTTGTTTCATTTTTTTCATCATTATAAGAGATATTCCGATCCTGACATTGAATTAAATTAATGTGTTGTAATCCGAGGATTAAGGATCAGGAAATAAGTTAATACTAGATTTTTATTTTACGCAACGTTTCGGAGTTTATTACTCCTTCCTCAGGCGTCTGTGGAAACATACAAAATTTATACAATTAATCAACAGATTCGGTAGAATCTGGCGCCAAGTTCCGTTCTCAAGCCAGACTACCGAGTGTGTATATACCGTAAGCAGAACGGTTTTTTGAGGTTACAAATTTTTTTTCAAATTTAATTTGATTTTTTTTTTATATGATTATGTGATATTGAGTTAGTTAAGAGATTTTGAGGTGTTGTTCTGTATTAAATAATTAATTGTATAAATTTTGTATGTTTCCACAGACGCCTGAGGAAGGAGTAATAAACTCCGAAACGTTGCGTAAAATAAAAATCTATTAAGTATTAACTTTATTTCATGATCCTTAATCCTCGGATTACAACACATTAATTTCATTTTTTTGTTTAATTGAGGTCTTTTTTTTGCTTCATGTTGACTTTTTTTTTCTGTGAGTTCTCGGGGATACTCAAGACTTGTAAGAATCGTGGTTTTCCCTCGACAACGTTTTCTGGGAGGAAAATCTCTAGATTTTGATGGTAATAGCTTAAGTAAAAAAAAATTTTTTTATATGATTTTTTGGGGAGGGGGCCGTCGTGCTCCAAAAAAAAAAAAAATTTTTTTCGATTTTTTGCAAAATATCGACTGATTCGTTCGAAATAAATGGAAAATAAATGAATTTGATGGTTAAAAGCCACAAAATAAAAAAATTTGCTTAAGGGGGCCGTCGTGCCCCAGGCTCCCCTAAGAACTTTTGGAATGCTACAGTAATCCGCGATTACAAAATGGAAATAGATTGTCGTAGAGTTTTTTGCAAAGAAAGTAACAGTTCCTATGTAATGATAGAACCTGCTGAAGGGACTACGTGCGGCTCTCAAAAAGTATGTCTTCATGGACAGTGTGTTAGCACAAAGTTAGATGGATAAGATTCTATTGCATGAATCATCAATTAAAAATTTTTTTAATTTAAATCATTTATGTAAGATTTTGATCAAATCAGTATGTTACGATTGATATATTTAATAAATTGCAATATATAGCTTAAAAATTTTATGTGAATTTTAATTTATCAACCATATATTAATAATTTCTAACTACATAAGTTTTCAGCCAAAAACTCGCGTCAATAATTGAAAAGTTTAATCATTGACAAACCAAAATCTTGAAATTTTCAATCGTTAAGAATAAAACGAAGGACAATTTTCAAGTTGAAAATTGTCCTTCGTTTTATTCTTAACGATTAATATCAGTAATGTTAGTATAGTTGGAGACTATATCTTTCTTGTTTTATACACTCTTAAAGAGACACCAATAAAACCAAAATACTTAATAACAATCATGATATTATATCACACTATACTTTAAAATTAATACTGTGAAAATTGACCATGAAATACTTTTGTGTAGTTTTATGAGTTTGATAAAAATTTGATAAATTTTATGATATTTTTTTGATTTGACGTCATTGAATTAAGAGATAAAGGTTATCAATAAATTGTAATGATAAGTAAATGTAGCTGTTAGTGACGAAAAATTATTGCTCAAAACAAATGTTTTTTAAGAAGTAAGTTATGAACATTACTGATAAATAACTGAAGAACAATAACGTAATGCGTAGAAATTTTAGAGTATGCCCTTTTGACATTATTGTAATTTGTTGATGGTATTAAAGCTATAAATTATTATTATTTTTAGAAGCTACGGCACAATTTGTTTTTATGAAAAGCATTTTTCATTAAAAAATTTTCTACGTTGATATTTTCCCGGAAAAATCATAACTATTGATCAACAATATATCGTTAATAAAAATTGAAAGTCAGTTTCATTATTAGAAAATTTTAATTCTTCTGTAAGAAATTAATTTATTTTGATTGTTGCTATTTATATTATGACATTAATAATTTGGTTGTATAATTTATTTTTTATTGATTTTAATACCTTAACAATAAAATTCAAACAAAATAAAGTTTTGATCATTTCTGATATCAGCCTATATAAATTGTAAGCCGATCACTTGCGTCAACAACTGAAAAATGTGACATAAATAAACTAAAATCTTTCTCATAAGTATTTTATTACTCATTGATTGTCAGAGTAGATAATTATTTATTATTTTCGTTAATACCTGTAATTTGATACTATTATTATACACCTAAGTCAATTGATAGGAGCTACTATCAATACTCACATATACATCAAAATATTTATAACGATCTCCAGTGTTTGATTGAGTGTGTTTCAAGTGCTTTATCAAGGGCAATAATTTTATATTTAATGTCAGGTTCACTATCAAGCTCACAGTTTTTTTTCGTCTTCATCAGAAGCCGTCCGTTTAAGTCTAAAATTTTATACTTTTGCAAAGTTAAAAAAAAGTCGTTTCAAAATGCTAATATCATTTATTTTACTTGGAATTTTTTGCAGTTCATCTTCTCAATCGGTAATCACAAAACATTCTGAATTTTGTCAAATTTTAAGTAATAACAACAAATGATTTGTAGATTCACGATAAAATGACGCCAGAAGAACTGATGCGAATTTTTGGAATTTCGCTTGCCGATGAAGGTAATCTGGACACTTAAAATTTCAAATAGATCTTCATTAAAAAAAAATTTCTAATTTATTTTAGTCCCGGAGTACGAAGCGGTACCAATTTATGCCAAAAGCTTAGACAAAAATAATGGTATATACATAACGTTGAACCCATTCGGTAAGAATTTGAAAATGTGGCTCACTCCAAATGATGGGATACTAGCCGGTGAAGACATGCCGATTGTTTCTTTGAAAACTAATAAACAAGGTCTTATCGACATAACGAAATACTCAGGGGTAAGTCGATTTTTATTGAGCACTTATTGCATTGTATTTATGAGCCATTAACCAATTTTGATGTGATATAGTTCATTAGACAAGCTCTTCCAAAACTGTACGAGAATAAACTGTATGCAGCTACATTCGCGGTTAACAATCATCGTACTGGAAGAATGAGTCTGGTAAGACGATTTCTCATTAATAAAAGCTCAAAATATGAAAGTTAGAACGCTGCCAAAATGTTTAATCATAGTTATATTAATTCATAGACAGGTTTTGTTGGTGATTATTACGTTCAACCAGTACCTTCACGACTTGTAAAACACGCTAGAAGACAAGCAAGAGCTATCGACGATTCATTTGATCATGAAGAATATGATCATGTTTATCATTTTGTTCATAAAATACCCAACTCGAAAATGAATAAACAAGCTGGTAAGTAAATTTTAATTGAGAAATTTTTACATTAAATTCAATTGACAACAAACCTATTGATGTTATTACTTTACACAGATTTTGAATTACAATCGAGGCCAGCAGGCATGGCACAAGAAATTATTTATCCAGAAGTTCTCGTAATTGTCGATTACAGCTTGATTCGTAAGTTCAATGGAAAAGCAAAAGAAGCCTTACTATACATACTCTCATTTTGGAACGGCGTTGACATGAGATACAGAAGTATCGAACATCCTCGAGTTCGTTTGAACATCGCAGGAATCGTATTTTCTCAGGATTCCAAAGCTATGCCCTATTTAATAAGTCAGGATGGAAAAATCATTAGCATTTCAGATTCTCTCATTGCCAAAGGGAAATTTTTGTACCTCATGAAGAAATATATTCCCGTAGATTCTTACGATATAGCAGTAACTATGACTTCGTAAGTATTTACCCAAAAGTTCAACAATAGTTTCTCTACAAAACCTTAATTGTAAAAATTTTTCAGGGATACTTTGTGTGACTTCAATAATTGTTACCTTCTTGGACAAGTACGGAGAATTGGTAAAGCTTGTGACGTCAACCACGAAGAACAAACAATGGATAAAGTTTTGATCATGCGTGATAGAGGAGGTTTCGACGGTATCGAAACTGCATCTCATGAATTGGGGCACTTGTAAGTTTAAATCTATGGAATTATTAGAGTAAGTTAATGATCAATGATTAATGATGAATAATCAATGTCCCATCAGGCTGGGCATGCACCATGACGGTACAGTAAACGCCAGATGTCCCGATGAACTTGGTCACATCATGGCACCATCTAACAAATTTTCCAAGTATGCTTTCGACTGGTCAAAGTGTTCTTTAGCTAACATGCACACTTTCTTGAGGTAATTAAGTTCATCTTCTTTTTTTTTTTTGAGCAACAATGATTGTTAATACTATTATGACTTTTTAGATCTCCACAAGCTTCATGTTTATTCAATAAACCTAATCAAGGCAAAGCAATTCACAGATTTTTGCCGGGACAGCTAATGAGTCCGCATGAGCAATGCAGAATGATTAATGGAATAAGAGCTTCCAGAATTGACGACTCTATTTGTACTCAACTGAAGTGTGAATTTCCTAATGAAGATGTATCTCAATTTAAGGATTTGATTCCTGAGGCCGCTGAAGGAAGTACTTGCGGTATCGGAAAGATATGCTTGCATGGAAACTGTCTTTTTAAGACACAAGTTAATTAGTTATGGTGTTAGAAGATTTATTTATAAATCTAATTATTGTATTTGATCTCATAACAAAAGTTTCCACAATTTATGTCATTATTCCCAATGGCTACGTACGTTCAAAAAAATGGCATACTTTAAAATAGCAAAATAACACATTATTTTGGAGAAAAAACTCTATTATAGTGATATTTTAATGAAATAATTTTTGAACGAAAAAAGTAAGGTAATTTTTGTTAATCTCATGTAAATATACCGATGAATTGCAGTTTTCCATTTTAATTTATATGATAAATCTAAGTCTTAGAATGATAGTTTGTAGTCGAATGATTGAATAAATTAGAAAATTTAGTATTAAAAAATTTTCTTCCATTTCTTAATACTAACTACAAGTGTAATATAGTGTTTTAATAAAATTTTATCAAAACACAAGACTTATTTTTTCCAAAAAACCTACCTCTTGATCGAACCCTCATGTGAGCGGAATCTTCTACTCGCGGACAATAAAGCAGTTTCCAATGTTATTCGTCTTCAGCAGTTAAATAATATGCGTAAGTTTTATCGCCAGATGGCAGTTCAATGCTGACCAGCAGATGCTTTATCACGTGCTCAATTATGCTCACTATAGATTAAAACTTCTCAACTGAGTCCATGACCGCTCGATCCAGGTAAAAGTATGCGTGGAAATGCAGTGATGCTGCAGATAACCAGCTTAAGGACCAACAGCCGCAGTAGTAGCAGTATTCGGCTGGTAGCTGGATTGAATCCATTGTGCTACATCAGATGGCCGCTCAAACTAGCAGCGCATCATCCTCTCAGCTATCACTTTCTCTCATAAACACAATTATCCTTAATAATTTTATCCCATTATCCAGTGTCTCAATCAATTGTATCTTAATTTTCCCGGCAAAAATTTATTCGGAAAATTTATAGTAGCATTTACGAACCTATGACAAGTTCGTGTCTGTGATTGTTTTTTTAAATTTTAAGATGCGGTGATTTAATCTTTATTATTTATATGGACCAAAACTGTTTTATCTTGCGATCCTGATGGAAAACGTGAGCTTAACCAAAAAAAAGACGGGGCTAAGTTATTTTTATATATGATTTTCTTGGTAATTTATTCGGGGATTGCAAGTGTTAATATTATTGATGTAAGAAGAGGGATTACGTACAAGTGAGAATTTAAAATTAAAATTGAATCACATTGAGGATTTGGTTTATTTGATATTAACTATATGGAATTATTATTATTATGATTGGTAGCTTTTTATTCTAAAACTAAGTTAGAGATAATAAATAAAAGTGCGCGTGAGTGTGTGACCTCGTGGGATTTCCACGCCGCCGGTGTCAAGTGAGTACTGACCCTCAAGGTCAACTGGATATAATTGTTCTAATTAGAACTAATTTTTTTTTATTATATTATAGTCGTATAATTTTATTTTAGGTTGATTTAATCTAGGTTGATTTAATCGCGAGAAAAATATCTCGAGATTTAATTTCAATTCAAGTTTTTTATGTGAGTTCAAGGTGAAATTTAACTATTAATATTTATTAGAACAAACTGATAATATTTTGGATTGATTATTTGAGCAGAATTTCAAAAATTTAGAATCAAATTTTAAGAAAGATAAAAAAACAATATCAAGAAAGTTTTAATCTGGTTTAAAATAAAAAATTTAATGAGAAAGCGGATTCGAAGTTTCGGATTTAAATAATGCAGTAGTTGAAAAAACTTAAGTAAGCTGACAAAAAGTTAGATGGATAAAATCAGTACACTGGATAATCGAATCGCACTCGCTTCCAAATTGATAAAATCGCGATGTTTAGCGAATGGTTACTCTTAAAAACAATTAGAAACGCAAAAAACGCTGATATAAAATGAAATTCAAATGAAATCCTTTGAAACTCCAGATGAATAATCAGAAACTTAATCAAAAGTAGATAGATAGTTATTGACAGGTAAAAAAACTCACCATTTGGAGATTTAATCAGCGAAGCACTTAAGCGAAGAAATAGTTCAAAGTCTCTCGATATAAACCTTTTTCGGAGTCATCAAAGTATCTCATTTCGGCCCCTGTCTCTACTCAGTCTTTACCTGGGGACATTAAAACCATTCATTAAATCGTCTTTAATTATTCATTTTCAGTCGTCAAGAATGTATAAACTCGCCATTTTAACTCGGAATTAGAGATAAAATTATGAGCGAATGGATGGTGAAATTGTGATTTAATTTTTATTAATGAATTTTATTATAATTGCCTACTTTTTTTGTAGAGAAATAGTAATTTAATATTTTTGAAATAAGGACAGATAGAATTAGCTTATGGTTATTAATTTTTAACTACATAAATTGTATAGACATCAAAATGATAAATTATGAATAATGGTCGATGATAACATTAAAATATTGTGTTTTATGTCAGTATCATTAATTATCAAATTACATGCCTGTTTCTCATTTTGGAAATGTTTATCAATGACAGTTAGAAAATGTTTTATTTTTTGAGCTATATAAAAATTTTTCTAATGGAATTAGTGTATTTTATTTTATATTTTTATTTCTGTCAACTAAAAAAAAAATTTTTTTTTAAATTAGCATTTTTTAATATTTATTTTCGATATTTTAATTTTGAAAAACGTGATCAAAAAAATATATGATTATTTAATAAAATTATTAATTTGATTCTTCACATTCAAGAATATTGACATATTGAAAAATTAATATAAATATTGATATTAATACTATAATACCATTATATAAAATTACAATTTAATCAAGTGCTTACTATGTATATTTTCGTATTTACTAAACGTCAGTTTCAAGGCTGAACGTGTGATAAATAAATAGAATAATAACATTATCGGTAATTGTTTGGTCTAAGGGTAACATTTATGTCAATAATAATTCAATAATTATTTTTTCAAAGCATTAAGTAAATAATTAACAGTAGATATTTATTTTTAATGAACGAGAAAACATAAAATAATATGCATAGCTTAATACCGATTAAAAACCTGCTACAAATATACTAATGCTCGCTACACTATAATAATAAGCATAAAGAGATGCGTGACATTTCAGTCAACACAATAAAAATAATGAAAATACTCGGTATATACTGAACTACAAATTATCACTTAAATTCTGCTAAATACACGGAAAAAAAAATATTGTTACTGGAGCCATCTATTAGATACCTACTCGTAGAAAGTTACTGTAGCATTATGCATTCCTACAGCAGCAATACGGTATGGCTACTGGAGCGATCTGTTAGATAGCTAGAATCGCCAACTACATTTCTCTTACAACGCCCTCTTACCGGACAAAACATATTTATCCGGACCACATAAAAGTGACACACGTGTTTTTTTGTGCCAATGATCAATTAAAAAAAAATGACTTAAATATTTGTTTTAATTAAATATGGATTCGTGGGTAGGAAAAATTTTACAAAAATGGAATCTTACTGATTACAAAAATCAATTTATTGATAAGTAAATACTTATTTATTTGTCATAAAATATGAACAACCAACCTCAAACCTCATCATTATAAAATCAAAACATTTCATTCTTCTAATCTTTTGTTAATTTTTATTTAAAAATTATATGGATAAATAAAAAAAAAATAAGTAATTAAGAATTAAAAAAAATTCGTAGTGAAAATTTTTAGAAGCATTTTTTACTGTCATTGATTTGTTATAAAATTTAAAAAAAAATTGACAGTTGTCAATTAACTTTAGTATCACATTTTTGATATTATTTATTTATTTTTCATGTACCATTTTAAAAAAAATAATTATACAAATTAAATGTTTCTACACACATTCCTGTGTTTTAAATATTTCGACTGTTTTTTTTCGAATTTCGGAAGGGGTTTTAAATAATTTGTTGGTTCTATAAATTTTCTCCACCACATTTTTCATTAAATTATTTGGATTTGATTTTTTCATTGCACTAATTATTTTCAAATTTATTTAAAAAGTACCTAAACTATTAATATCTCTATTGGAAAAAACAAAAAATTAATAAGCCAAAGTTTTTTTTTAATTATAATCCATAACTCTTGACAGTCGCATATTAACTACAGATTGCTAGTAAATAATTATATTAATTTTAAAGGTTATAAAATATGTCAACAAACAAGACTGCGCGCAGAATCTGAGACTTCAACGAGGCGTTTACCCCTCACAGCAATCCCGTATTGCTCTCCCAGCTCAACGGTTTAGCTATTTTAGCCATCTACTGTATACCTGCCAGAGCGATCTACTAGATGGCTCTAGTAACTCTCTAACAGTTAGTCGAGTGGGGATAGTTACTGTAGCATTACAATATAGCTCTGAGAGCGATATTTTTTTTTCCGTGTACATAATAATAAATAGTGGATGACTACAAATGCGTTAATAAATAGTAACGTGTATTAAACACGCGATAAAAATAGATGTATCAGCAGTTGTAAGCGGGATGTAATATATAATTCCACTCTCTTACTTTTATTTTAAAATTTAACAAACATGACAATGAATTGCTGTAAAGAAAATAAATTCAATGTAAAGGTATAATTGTTTCATCAAACAAGATAGAAAAACTATTGAACGGTTTTCACCTCGAGCTTTCAGTCACGCGATTCCTTAAGTTAATATAATGCTGCTCATATCCGCGTGTTTTGTTATTTTGTTGTGCAAATGTAAATGAAATATATATTTACTTTATTTTATATATATTATTATATAAATCGACCGTATAATATTATAATATTCCATGCACATATGTTCAATTAAATAAATGTCGTGTTTCTCAGAAATATAATCCTTTTTTTTCTACTCACTTATTACGCAATTATCCACATAGCTTTTCAAACGAAATAGACACAGGCAATTAACTTATCGTCAGGTTACTATTCAATATGTGATATACAATACATAATAAACTTTATGTTACAATGAAAATTTTACTGTTACGCGGCTATAAAATGATAAAGCGGTCATAGTTTTATTTTCTATTTCAATTTAACT